GGTTGCTGGCGTAGCGATTGCATCAACTTGAATCCTATTTAGTGCGTCTGGACTAACATTTAATTTACCTTTTCTGTGTTCTATTTCGAAATCAAATTGACTCAATCGCATGCTCCACCTGGCTAAGCGCCCTGATGGGTTATTTAATTTATAAAACCATAATAACGAGGCGTGGTCGGTTATTATTTTACACTTTGTACCTTCTACATAAGATCTAAATTGCTCTAATGCGTAAATCACGGCCATAAGTTCTCTCTCCGATGTGGAAAAATTAATTTCATTTTTGGCAAGAGACCGACTGCAGTATGCTATGGGATGTTCTACCCCGTCATAAGTCTGGGTTAAGACTCCGCCCACAGCCACTGAGGAAGCGTCACAATGGATAGAAAAAGGCAAATCAAAGTTTGGACATTTAAGTATCGGAGCAGACACTAAAGCGGTTTTTAAGTGGTTAAATGACTCATCTGCCTCCGTAGTCCATTCAAAGCGGACATTTTTGTTAGTTAATTTATTCAACGGTTTACTAATTTTCGAAAAATTGTTAATGAACCTCCTGTACCAGCCTGCCATGCCTAGAAACCTTTTAACCTCTTTAGCGGAAGTTGGAGTTGGATAATTCAATATAATATCTACCTTTCCCGGATCAGTTCTAAGTCCATGTTTGTCAACTAAATATCCCAAGTACTTAAGTGCTCTACGGCAAAAGATAGACTTATCCATGTTTATAGTCAAGTTTGCGTCCCTGAGTTTTGCATAGACCTTATGCAAGAGCTGCACATGTTCTGAGAAAGTGCTGGATATTATGATTATGTCGTCTTGGAAACAGAATACTTTGTTGTTAAATTCGGGACCAAATAGCCTATCCAGTAATCTCTGCATTGTGCTTGACGCGGAAACAAGGCCAAACGACATTACATTGAATCTAAATAACCCCCTACGTGGCACTGTGAACGCGGTCTTATCAGCTGATTGCTCGCTATCATAGGGTATTTGCCAATACGCAGCGGAAAGATCTATTGACGTTAGGTATTTCGCGTCGCGGAGCTGGTCCAATATGCTGCTTATTTATATACGGGAGAGGATACGCATCGGGTTTGGAAACTGCATTTAATTTTCTACAATCTAGACAAAGCCTTAGGTCCCCATTTGGCTTCTGAACCATTACTACAGGTGAGTTCCAAGCTGACTGTGAAGGTGACACAACTCCCAAACTAAGCATTCTATCCAATTCTTTTTCAAGTGCTAGTTGCTTAACAGGTGATAATGGATAGTACCTTTGCTTAATAGGTTTGCTATCCCCTGTGTCTATGACGTGATGAATTAAATTGGTACGTCCCAAACCTACTTTAACTGTGTTAATTGTATCAAACTGTTGGACTAACTTATCCATGATTTGTTTTTGTTCTATGGATAAAGACTCGTATTCTTCAAGGCCTTTATTAAGAGAAACCGAATTTATGCTATTACATATTGATGACTCCGACTTTCGGTCAAACTGTACTTCGGATACAAGGTCACTCCCTAAGTCAAACACCTGCCAAAAATCAACACCTAGAATTATAGGTGAAGTTATTTGTGCAACAACATAAAAGTTAATCACTCTGAAATTATTGTTAAATTCAATAGGTAAGGACATATACCCTAAGCAATGCAATCTCGTACCATCAGCAGTTCTCACGTAGTGCTCAGTGTCAAACCAGTTGAGTTGAAATCCGTGTTCTAAAAAGATCAAATGCGCATTATTTCCAAGAATGCTACAAGTTGCACCCGAATCTAATAAGCCAAAAGCTTGTAAGTTCAATATTTTTAATTTTAAGTATGGTCTTATATCCCTAGTATTTTTTTTAAACAGAACTACCTCTTCATTATTGGACGTATAAGACCTATTTTTATTAAAGGTGTTGGATAGTTCCGTGTTAACTAGTTTTTTTGAATTGCAATTACTACAATCTGAACGCTTAACACCTTTTAATCCACACTTAAAACACACTAACTCTTTCGAATCGCATTGATTGGTGAAATGAGTGTTTAATCCACACCTAAAGCATTTCCTATCCAATTGCCTCGAAGAGCCAGCTTCATTCAGCACAGAGACTTGTTTACTGTGAGATCGCGGCGTTTGTTTATTTAAGTCCGCTGTAATTTTAAAGTTATTCAAGTTAGGTTCACTAAATTGTTCCGCACGCGACCGCGCAATTTCTAACTGTTTGCAATAAAGTTTAAGTTTGTCTACAGAGGTTATATCATGTAAAGCTAAATCTTTCATGTACTATGGTCTAATGTTATGCATCAAGATTTCGAGTTGTTGTCTACTCGACAACGGCTGAGTGAGTCGCGAGAACATTCCCTGCATAATGGAAAGATAGACTACTATCGTTTCGTGTCTGGCCTGTGTACGCTGCCTTATTTCATTTAATAGTTTATAGTCTAAATCGGGAATATCAAAGTCGTCCCTTAAGCATTTCAATAATTGTGAATATGAGTGGATATTATCCTTATTACTTCTAAACCAACATAAAGCAGAGTTTTCTAAAAGATCAGAAAAAGCTGAAAGTATGCGAGCTTCAGTAATGTTGCGAGCCTCTTTAAGTTCCTCAAGACGTTCAATAAATACACGAACACACGTGGTTCCGTCAAATTTTAAGTTAAATGTATTTAGGTTCAAGGGTTTATCTTTCACATAGATCACGTTACTTTCCACTTTCTGGTTAGACGGCTGTGCCTGGGTTTCCTTGTACTCACCATCCGTGTCGCTATCTTCACCGTCTATGACACTCAAAATGCGAATCAAACGACTACGAAGATCTGACAAATGCGAACTACTTTCAGAGATACGAGCTAGTCTATCCATCAAATAATTTGCACGACGAGACAGTTTAAGAGTCAAATTGCGATCATCTACTTTACCCGCCTGCAGCTGGGATTCCAGAAGTTCGACCTTTGGGGTGCAGATCTCTAGTTCAGAGGCTATACTGGGTGACTGGAGTGGTTCACACTTTATACTTCCACGGCGTGCGAGTTTGTACACCTGGCGGATCTGCTTCCTCACTGCATCGGTGGTTACATTTTCATCTGTGGAAATACCAATAATGGCGAGTTCATATCTGATTTCATCTTTATGTAATGAGTCTATATACTTGTGGATCGACATTTTGTTAAAATGTACTGACGGTTACAAGAAAGTCTTAAATCGGTTGATATTAAAAATATCTACTTAAAATAGCACAAATATTTTTATTATGTTAAGTTTTAATTCATTTAAGTACATATAAATCACATTCAAGTTAAACTTTCTTTGTTCTCAAGCTTACTTAAATCTACCTACATCAGAAAAAAAAATGTTAACATTAAATTTCACTAAGTTTTCATATTAAATGAGTTTTTAACAGCTTAAATAGTTACAATTAAGGTTAATTCATCTACTAACATCCAGCAACTTAAGGTTCAACGTTGGGTAGCCACTTTATAACACTGTTTAGGGCGTTACTCACCGGCTACGGTTATCGGAGAGTCAAGGGACTCGAGGATCAAAATAAAAGTATCCCAGGGCGCCTGTTGTTGGATGATTAGTAAATGAAAATGCTAAGATACATATACAGACAAAAAGTAGTTTATTTCCTTCTAAAGTTCACATATATAGCTCCAAATATCTAGTTTTCACTTTAAAATACCCTACGAACTGAGGTTTTGACTAACCTGGTGGATTACACAATATTACACTGTTTATGGTCAATCCCGCGTAGCAGTGAGGCAACAGATATCCTCCAGGTGTACGCCGGTCGCGGTCTCCTGGCCGCCCAGTCCCAATATAGCCACCCGTTGAAGCTGCCTCGCCTCGTTCACATTGTTAAACTTGATAATGGACCATACTCAAAGTACGGACTAAGGACTAAGGACCCCTATGACAAGGCAAAAGAATCTATGAAACACCGTGTACCGTTAATTAGAGCACATGTGCTTTTAAGAAGACAAAAACATTAAGTACTTACAATTTATGGGATGATGTGTTTCAACACATTAAACTGCCCGTAGACATTGTGTTTAAGGGGCCGTACGCCCAAGTAGTCGTCACTTTAAATTCATGTTCCGGCGTTTCGATTCAAAAATTATATATGTGCGTGTCCGATCATTACAACGGCTCGCTCCAAAAAGAACTAGGCCTCCCTTGGGCTACACGCCACCGTCGATCCGTGGTAGGATTTCGAACTAACACGAAACGTCAATTGCATGCAATTAGCTAGCTCGATTCGTCAATATACGTTTCTAGTTACTTCGGACTAATGACGTTAGATGGCGCTCTGAAGTCTGTTCATCGCATGTAATAACGTAAATATGCTAAAATAATGTACACGAAAATTTTCGTGTTACAATGTATATACCAACAATCATAAATGCCCAAAACATAAATAATTTTTACTAAACTTATGATCATGTTATAAATTATTTTAGTTTAATTTTTTGTCTCAGTTCTTTAGTAAATAAATGTAGCTGTATAAGTATATGTTCACGCGGACAGCATTTAGCTAAGATTTTGTACGTGACCCGTTATCTAGTTGTATTTTTGACGAAGTTTAATATATATTTGTTTTAAAATTTCTTTACATATGTTGATGCATTACATTGCGTAGTTTTTGGGAGATTTCGATGGGTGCCTGAGACAGGTGATAGTTGGCGGGCTTTGCCTAGCCTTAAAACCCTCAAAAAGGAGCGGCGGCCTGTTTCCAGTTACGGAATGTATACATAGTAGAGCCAAGCTGCAGCTATATTGTGGTTATAGCACGAATGGGTTGACTCGACCGGGGTAGGACCACCTTCTCACAGAATACCAGCGTAAAATAGTAGCGCGATGTTGCTGTGTTTCGTATGGTGAGTGTAGAGAAATGGAGGATTCTTAATGAAGTGAAGATGTGTATGGGCTACAGTATCCGCTTAACATCAGTTAGGTTTGTGCTCGTTCGTCACCTGTACTCTATAAAAAAATATAAGTTTGTTTGTTTGAGACGACAACGTGCGACCGTGTAAGGAGATCCTGGCGTTCCCGCTGCAGGCCGCCGCGGTGTCGCACCAGCAGTACCGCAACCTGCTGTACGTGTGCGTGCGCGACCTCAACCTGGCCGCCTACACCTCGCGCACCGGCTCCGCGCGCAACATCACCGTCAGTACAGCGCCTGCTCTCGGTCGCACACTCTCTCTCTCTCTCCCTCTCTCTCTCTCTCTCCCTCCCCCCCCCCCCTCTCTCCCTCCCCCCCTCTCGCTCTCTCTCTCTCTATATATATCTCCCTTTGCTTTTCTCGCTTTCACACACATATCCAAACACCCGCGAACCGTGACATTAAAAAAGTAGTTTTTTTGTATTTTTATCCCAGTTTCGAATAGATTTATGAGAAGTGATTTTATATATTGCGGAAATAACATATTGTACAGAAAAAATAGATCCTTATCATTTTCCAATTCCATAGTTGTGTACGGTATTTTCCGACTTTTCTTTATTTATTTCATGAACCCAATTTCTTCCCTTCTTAACTTTTTCCAATACCTTTGTGGCGTGGATATAAACGTTTATGAACATAAAACATAAAAAAAGTATATCATTATCAAACTTTGTATCTGACGCTAAACTTTCGTTGCACACGTAGGTCAAGTGTGTACACTAACGTATAACACAATACACTAATTTATTCCACATAATAAATAACGTTATAAGTCATAAGGTAATTTCAGCGTGGTACAGCCATACTACAGCTACATGATTATTGTAACTAGAATGGATCAGCTGAATCAAGAAAGAACCACGCTTTCATAGAATACCAGCTAAAATAGCAGCTTCATGCTGTTGTGTTTCGTTTGGTGAGTATAGAGAACCGGACACCCTTTTCACTGGAAACGGGGCATACCATCTTAATCCTCAGGAGTGACAACGCATCTGCATTATGATTCTTAATTGAGGATGGACGTAGATGTCTATGGGCCACAGCAACTACTTACCATCAGGTGGATTGTGTATTTGTTTGTTACCCTTATTCTATACAAAAATTACTCCTTAGACGTTTATCTATACATTACACCGACTTAACCCTCAGGGGTTACAATGCATCTGCATAATGTTTCTTAATCAAGGATAGAACTGTGTCTTTAGGCTACAACATTCACTTATCATTAATGAGACGAGAATAGATACTGCAACACCCTTATAATAAGATTTTTATTCACTAACGAAAATATTATTTGTATTACTATTAGGTAAGAATACAACTGATGTCGGGCGAGGATCAGGCCTCGGCGTTGCCTGCTATCTTCGGTCGCAGCTCGTGTCCAGAATTCAGCACTGAAGCCTACACCACTGTGCTCTACCACAATAAGTATGATACGGCTTTCAACATTATAAAACGTTACTGCCTATTAAAGTCCACTACTGAACACAGGCTTTCCCCTTAGATTGCGTCATAGAGGGAGATATTTTCTATAGTTACCACGCTTGGCAAGCCGGTTGGCAACTGCCGTATTTTTGGTTATAGTCGTTATTAGGAAGACGTTGCTGCCCATCTCCTGATGTGTTTCCCTCTGTCTGTCTCTTACGACACCCACGGGATAATATGGGGTAGTGGATATTCTTTCAAAGCCACTACACGTTAAGAACATTATAAAAGCAATAGTAATAATTTATTTATTAATAACCTTATAGTACTCACTCCTGACACATACCTCCTCCATAGGTTTTCGGAACAAGGAATAATAATCCACTGGTCTATTTCAGTACACGTTGGTTGGCCAACTTCATATTTCCTTAAAATATTTTTGGCATTATAATTTTATAAAATCACACTTATTGCAATATAGCTTGAAGAACCTAAAACGGATGGGAAGAAATGGTTCTCGAGTATACTAAATGAAAATGATGACCTGGTAAGAGATGCAGGAAATTAATGGATGCAGGTGTTTCTTTGGGCCGTCTCTATGTTCAGCAGTGGAGTGTTGAAGGGCTGTAATGATAATGATGATGAATCTATGAACATGCCATAGCTGGTAATTTTCGTCTGCAGTTTTGAAAGTGGTTATTAACTCTGAAAATATTTGTTATAATATCTCGATAGCATTAATGAAATCTTGTGCAAATAACAATAAATTGTGAATACACTCTAGGCAAGGAGGGCTAATAATTTTCTGCTCACTAGATGTCGCTAGTTGACACTGAGGTAAAGTTTTTTGTTACACAATGTAATTTATTTGAGAAGTTGTTTTTTAATAAAAGTTCAACAGTTTCTAGAGTATTATATTAATACACAAAATAATGCGTCAGTGGTTTGCTCCTTCATTTTTTGCACATTTTAAACTTTATATTTTTCTACTTTTATGAATATCTGTGGTTTGGTTTATTTATTTTTAATGTTATTAATATAAAATATAGCTAACAGTACAAAAAGACACAATAACTTTTACATTTTCCGAACAAATTAACTTCCCTGCTATGAAATCTGTCAAATATCAATTTCTAGTGGCAGAAAATGTCGTGGATGAAATACTTTTTAAAAGTTGGCAAAACAAATATTAATAAAATAACCATACTTAAACACATACATAAACTTTTACGCCTGCCACCCAGACGGGTAGGCAGAGGCTATGAACATAAATGACATTTTTCTTAATTTAAAATCTACATTCTGTTATACCAATTTTTAACACACACTGTCCGATTTTTAGACACAATAGTAAGACAATAGTAATGACCTATATGTAGTACACGGGGCAGCGAAAGGGTTAGGATACTACTGAACGTAGCCAATTCAAATTAAACTATCAAACTATTAATAATAGCAATCTCCCATATCCAGTTATAAAAAAATATTATTTTTTATTATAATTATAAAGGAACCCGTCGCTTTACGATGAAATAAAGCTGAAGCTACCTGCCGACCTGGGTGATCACCATCATCTTCTCTTCACATTCCTTCACGTGTCTTGTCAGAGGAAACCCGTTCCCCCAGACCAGGAGAAAAGCGTAGAAACACCCGTTGGTTATTCTGTAAGTATACATACATTTCGTATTTTTTGTGGCAGAATTACGCTCCAGGTATATTATGACTGTAGCACGAAGTGACCTGCTCGACCGGGGAAGGATCACGCTATCACCATACCAGCATGAAATAACAGCTTAATGAGTAGCGTATGGTGAATGCAGAGAACCGAAGATCCCCTTTACTGTAACGAGGTATTTCATTTTAGTTCTCAGGGGTGACAACGCACCTGCATTTTAATTCTTAATCGAGGATAGCTATGTATGAGTTACAGCGCCCACTTAGCATCAGGTGCACAGTGTGCTGGTTTGTCACTCTTTTCTACATTTAAAAAAAAGTGAATACGCTATGTATACGCAAAGTGTTTATCGAATCCTTATAGAATATAATCACACAGAAGCCTTTATATGACCTTTTCCTTTCCGTGTTCTCCATTAGCCCATTAAAGCTCCTGTTGTTCTGTATCGTGGAGGCAGTTTACATACATAAATTTCACAAGGACAAACATTCAGACCCGGAACATTTATTTGTTGGCCATACAAATACTTGTTCCGTGCGTGATTCGAACCCGCGGCCTTTAGCGCTGTAACTCATTGCTAAGCAATAAAAATTCGTCTAAGGCTGTGAGGCATTTAATCTTAGTCCTCAGACGTGATAACGCATCTGTACTCATTGCAAAGCCACTTTGCCACGGAGCCGTCCAAAAGATCTTACTGCTAGGTTCTGGCCTTTCCTCATTTCTGAGGAAGTTTTGCAACAGTAAAGAGTTTGTCATGCTGCCACTCTCAGACCTGCCGATTTTCTTACTTATATGTCTTCAGTAGTGCCAGCTAACTCTGGTTACCCACGTACTTTAAAATGTAAGACCTTGAGTTACCAAAGCTTTAAATATTATATTCTAATAAGGATTATTTGTCACCAGTGGCTTCCGCTATGCCGCAATGGAAAGCTAACTTGCGGAGAGTTCAATCTACCAGTGATGCAAGAGGAGCCGCCCCCCAACTATTCTTACATATTTCCCGACGTTCTGTTGCCGGGCACGCGGTGGATAGACAACCATAAGCCTATCTTTAGTATATATCTTGATGCGCATACCACGGTCCATCCATTGGTAAGTCATTGTTTTAAAAAATTTGTAAGAATTAAGGTGGTAATTATTTTTGGCAACATCTTTAAATTCTATGGCGACAATCCCTACTCTGTGTAACTAGTTAAACACTGGTTAGACTAGTATGTGTTTGTCATTTGCAGTATGAACGTAAACAATGAATGTTTTATTTATTTTAATTTGATGAATTTACTTGAAAACTAACACACATGATTTATGTTTAGGCCCAAAAATGGTCATTTGAGACGACATCCAATCGCCTTCGACTTAGCGAATCGCCCGATGGTGTTAGGTGTCACGCGCGTCGCGGGGAGGGGGCAGCGGTATGCAGCTTCCCAGCGTTTGGCGCTCGTGGGCGAGAAACAGTAGCTTGAGAGCAGCGGTGCGGGCAATTAGCGTATTTTGGAGACCGCTGCATATATTTCGCGTGACCAGTTTTTTGGGTTTATGGTCTAGATTTTAGTATTTGTGCGCGTTATTTCGTTACTGAATTGTGGTTTCGTGAAGACTGCCTCGGTTTAGTTTATCTAAGTTGTAAGTTCGTGACAAGAGGCTTGTATTGAATTTGACTGATTAAAGTAATTTCGTTTGAAAGTAATTGTGCCAATTATATAGTGATTGCGTGTTGAAGTGCATTTTGCAATATTTAACTTACTTATGTGACGTGGAATCTTACGCGTGCGCAGAGTAGAGATACGGTCTGGAATTGAAGCTCGCATTCCATTTCGAGGGCGTAGCCCGATTAATTGTTTTTGGAAATCATTGTTTAATTGTACTGTCGCGTTAAGAGCCTTTTGTGTGTTGACTCTTTAGTTACTTTGCGTGTCAGTTAGGTTGATTTTGAATTCTTATTGCGGCGTAGTATTTAATATAGTACGAAGGAATTTAGTTGTTGTTTGTAACGCTGAACTTGTGACGCGTGAAGAGATCGCGTTAGTTCCCTATCTGTAATTTGGTGATAATTGAATCCGGAACCTTGAATATTGAACTTTGAACTACTGTTCGTTACTTGGGTCGGGTATTACGTGTTTGATTTTACGATGAACGTTGAATTAATAATTGTGAATTAGTTTATACGTGGTAGAGCCATGCTGCATCTATATTATGGTTGTAGCACGTATGGGTCGGCTCGACCGGGAAAGGACCACGCTCTCACAGAATACCAGCGTAAAATAGCAGCTTAACGCTGCTGCGTTTCGTATGGTGAGTGTAGAGAACCGGAGACTCTTTTTACTGGAAACGAGGCATTCCATTTTAGTCCTCACGAGTGACAACGCATCTGCATTTTGACTCTTAATCGAAGATAGATGTAGATGTCTATGGGCCATAGCGACCACTTACCATTAGGTGGACTGTGTGCTCGTTTGTCACCCATATCCTATAAAAAAAAATGTTGAGTTGAAGTTAGTTAAATGTACAATAAAGTTGATAGACTGAAATAGTGACATGAATAAAGAAGTTGTCACTTGGTGACGCCTGCTGGAGTGATGCAGCATTGTGGGGCAGCATGGGACCAGGCCGCTGCCCGGTCACCTCAGCTGGGCCAGGTCACATAAATATACACACCACTAAACACCACTTTACATGCACCTACAACTACCTACGGCCTGACCGAGCCTTGGTGCGGTCTTAGCTTCGGATCAGGTACATCCTATTTATTTACCGCACGCATCTTCATTTTGATTCGCAAACGTGGATAGATGTAGATGTCTATGGGTCACAGCAACCACTTACCATGAGGTGGACTGTATGCTAGCTTTTCACCCTTATCCCATAAAAAAATGATATATAAATATATATAAATGCTTTCTGCACACCTTTGCTATATTAATTTTAACTATGCCAAATCTCACACCCCACCAGGCGCGCAATATGCTTAAAAGGAGGTACAAAGTTTTCCCTTCAGGTAATCTTTATATATAAAAATTACGTGTCACGTTGTTTGTCCGCGATGGACTCCTTAACCACTGAACTGATTTTATTGAAATTTTGCACACTCTGTGCAGTTAGGTCCAACTTGAGAGATAGGATAGTTTTTATCCTGATAAGTGACCTTCAAAATTTTTTTATTACGAATATAGGGATTTTTTATATGAAGGGTCGTCGAAAAGGGCAGAATAACGTCTGCCTGGCCAGCTAGTTAATATATAGATTATTCGGTCAGTTTAAATCAAATCAATTGTTAACACTGTACTCGCAAATTTAGAATACATTCGGTATTTTACAGGACGGTTATATAGAGAGGTTCGCGATGGCCTGTGAGGCTGTACAAGAGGGGAACATCCCACCAAGGATTGGACTTGCTAATATGGAGGCTGAACTACGGGCGAGGTATATTATATACATTGTCTCCATAAGTAATCGTTTAATGGTTTGTATTGCAACACTATCATGCATACTTTTTTTTATGTGACGCATGATACATTCCATATGAAAGTAAACTAAATCTATTCTCGTATATACGTGTTAGAGCCACGCTGCAGATATAATATGGTTGTAGCACGAATGGGTCGGCTGGACCGGGTATCGAAAAAAAATAATATAAACTTTTTACGACATTTTAGTGTCATGAAATAAAATATTTAATTTCCAATAACTCAGAATCAATTCAAACAGCAGTCACATTGGTGACATCTTGGATGTCACAATGGGTCGGCCACACACATTCGGAATCCCGTTTTGCCCGTAAAATTTCGAACGGAAAACTACCGTACTGGGTCGGCCACACACATTCGGAATCCCGTTTTGCCCGTAAAATTTCGAACGGAAAACTACCGTACGTGTGTGACGGGTCCTTGATTTTATATGGACTTGCTACGTTCGGAATAAGACTAAATGACATAAATCTGAAATATATTTCATAGGACGAAAGTAACAGATGACCATTTAGTTGCTGATGTCCGGTCTATTACTACTACTTATATTAAATGTCTTTGCGTTAGAACGACAATCAGTGAGTTAAGTAGCAAATTAAGAAATAAGTTGACCGAGCGGTTTATTTTTCGGCGAGTTGAGTTCAAAGTGTTGCCCTTCTGCACCTCTCTGGCAACCCGCAAATAAACTCGCTGCTTATGTGAACGAGCGAGTTTAGTTCTGTGCATAAATTGACAGGACGCAACGCATTCGCGTTCGACCCTCAAAATATAAATTATAATTTTTTTTTTATTCAACCCGCCACGAAGACATTTGGACGCTACTGCTCTCTTAACCGTTTACTGTCAACTGCCCTGGAACTAAGGTCGTTGTACAACTGTACTTGTTGAAGTGTAAATCTGCCTTTAATACTGCTCTGTGTTTCGTATGGTGAGTGTAGAGAACCAGAGACCCGTTTTGTTTTACTGGTAACGAGACATTCCATCATAGTCTTCGGAGGTGACAACCCATCTGTATCTTGATTCTTAATTGAGAATAGATGTAGATGTCTATGGGCAACAGCATCCACTTACCATCATATGGACTGTGTGGTCGCTTGCCACCATAATTCTATAAAAATGCGAGTGTAAGCATTTTTATGTGCAGTATCTCCGAGCTGCCGACCGCCAACGTGGAGGTGCTGGCGCGGTACCTGGCGGTGGTGTGCGACAAGCTGCTGCAGCTGCTGGTGGCGCCGCCCGCGCTGCCCGGCCAGCCGCAGCCGCTCAACATCGCGCAGGACGTCTTCACCTGCCTCGCGCACATCTTCACCGAGATCACCGTATGGAACGCCTCTCTTTATAACATCTAATTCATTATTACCAGCGTATTCAATGAAATAAACTATTACTAGAGTTTTCCTCGAAAAGTGTTCTGAAATGTCATTATATTTAGTAAGAGCAATACAAGAGATTTAACATTGTCGACGACAGTGTTAACTTTGTACCTAATTTATTGAAATAGTTCTAGAAAAATCTTAGCGTCAGCTTTCAAGTATAATTAAATATATTCGATATTAGATTTTGCGTGATAGACTTTGTGTCATGGAAACAAAATATATAGGTACGTAGAGCTCAGTATTGGTAAAAAAATTATACTAAATGAAAGTGCTGAAATTTGTTTTGCATTCAGTCCTAAAGAAATTTTAATCGCCAAAATATTGTTTTTATAGTTTTTATAATCATTTTGTGAACAGACCGCCGTCTATCCTCAAGGTAGGTAAACTATATTGCAATATCGGTATAAAACCAGAGATTGATTGCGGTTAAGGTACGAGGTTACGCTACCGATACAAAATATTGTTATCGCAATTTTTTTAAAGATAGACCGAAAGCGGTTAAAATTCGCAAATAAAAAGATACGCAACCGATATAAAATAACGGTAGCGCTATTTTTAAGGGGTTTTGTTACTTCTTTGTATAATCTTTACATAACCGAAATTATTTCGGTAACGAAAAATATCGCGCGGTGCTGATGACGTCGTTAAGTCGCTGAGAGATTTTTAGCGTCTCGGAGCGGGGAATCCCCGCTGAGGTTGGCCGCGAGCGTCCATTATTTGGGTACCAGTCACCCACACGACCACACGAATATCGAAATCGACATCGCTTACATTCGCTAACACCTCGATTCGTCTTGCTGAGGTTAAACGATTATTTTCATATCTAATAATTTTAATAAAATTATAATGGAAAGAAAACTAAAAAACGCTGTGTACGCTTTCTTTTCTTTAGACAAAGTGACAAGAACCTCTACCTGGTTAGTACCTTTTTTATAAAGGAGGGGGCAAACGAGTATACGGCTCACCTGATGGTAAATGACTACTGCCGTTATGAACAACCGCAACACCAGTCTTTTAGAAAAGAGTAAACTCTTTTCTTGAAGGTCCCTAAGTCCTATCGGTCCAGAAAAATCGCCGGTGGTAAACAATTCGACAGATTTGTGCGAGAAAGAAAACTCCTAGTAACACGCACAGTGGTGGACCGCCAAGCATCCAGATGGTGAGGATGGTATCGTGAATTTTGAGGCGATATGCATTCGTGAAATTTGGCAGCTGGAATTAATCCGAACAATTCCTCAGCACACCCCACTCAGCGCCAGTGAATTGAGCTGATCAGAAAGAACTCGATCGTCGACGATTCGAACCGCTCTGCGCTGGATGCCGTCAAGCGGAAGGAGCTGACACTGGGGTGCCACGGCCCAGAGATGAGAGCAGTATTCCATGTGAGGCCGAACTTGTGAATTGTAAAGTTGCAAGCAAACATGAAATACTGTCCCGCTCTGCTGAGCACGCCAAGCTTTTTAGAGGCCAATCTGGTCTTCCCTTCCAAGTGACCACGAAATTGCACACTATTCGATATGTCGACGCTTAGTTTTCCGATGCTAGCTGAAGCAGCATGGGGAGTGCCTTAAAACTGAATAGATACGACAGAGGTTCTTTTTAGCGGTAAACGTGCAAACTTGTGTCTTCTGGGGATTGAACTGGACTAGATTTAGTCGCCCTCAATCCGAGACTTTGTTCAGCATATACTCGACTTCAGGCACAAGTTTGCCCCGGTACTGACAGACGTTATTCCGAGAAATATTGGCACGGCCGGCGTATAAGGCATCACCAGTGCTGTCGTCTGCATAGCAATGATTGTTACCAGTTTCCAACATATCATTGATATGCAGAAGAAACATTGGTGATAGCACGTTACCTTGAGGAAAACCAGCGTTAATAAGCTTGTAATCAGAGCATGCACCGTCAACTACGACCTTGATGCTCCGATCAGTCAGGAAACTGGTGATCCAATTGCACAATTTCTCGGCAAGCCCATAGGAAGGGAGCTTCGAAAGAAGCGCTTTGTATCAGACTCGATCGAAGGCCTTCGCTATATCCAAACTAACGGCCTCCCTCTGTTGACTCTACTGCTTCCGCCTATCTATGAGTCAGGTAGACCAGAAGATCACCAGCTGATCGACCCCGACGAAAACCGTATTGGCGGTCACTAATCAGCTGGTGATCGTCAAGGTACCCCATGAGCTGGCAGTTTATAATGGACTACAATATTTTGGGGAACAAGGTGGTGATGGCGATAGGCCTGTAGTTGGACGGGTCTAAGCGGTCGCCTTTTTTTAGGGATCGGGTGGATCAAAGCTGTCTTCCATGAATTCGGGACTACGTCTTGGGAGTAGCAGTTCCGAAAAAGAAGCGTCAAAACCGGCGCCAACTCCGGAGCACACGTGTTCAGCACAATGGGGGGGGGGGGGGGGGACTCCATCAGGCCCACTCGGCTTGTTGACATCCAGAGAGAGGAGGTTTTTACCGTTTGAACAGAGCGCTGTGTAAACCGTACATCCGGCATGGAGCACTCACACCGTGGGATGATCGGCGGTGTGTTCCCCCCGTTGGACGGAAAAATAGAGCCTAAGCAATCGTCTTTCTCTTTTGCCGCATGGGCCAGTGAGTCGTCCTTTCTGTGCAGAAATGGAGGAGATGCCTGACAGAAGTTCCTTGGACAGCTTTGGCGAGAGATCAGAATGCACAATAAAAATCAATTTGGTTTTACAACGGGTCGCTCGACAACTGATGCCGGTGTTGAGCTGATTAAATATATCTTTAATGCCTGGGAGAATTCACGGGATGCTTTGGGTATATTCTGTGACCTATCCAAGGCCTTCGATTGTGTTCACCATGAAACATTAATCAGGAAACTTCAACACTACGGTGTAAGAAGTTATGTTCTTTATTAATTATTTCATATTTAAGTAAGAGAACGCAAAAAGTTGTCATTAACAGTATGAGCTCTTCCGGGTTGATGGTACAAATGGGCGCGCCTCAAGGCTCAATTTTCGGCCCCTTTCTGTTTCTTGTATACATTAATTACTTACCTTATATAGTAGAAGATAACCATGATATAGTATTATTTGCATGACACTTCTTTGATTTTCAAATTAAGTCGACAATTACTAAAATATGACGAAGTACATAATGCTATATCTAAATTAGTAAATTGGTTCAATGTTAATAACTTGCATTTAAATGGCACTAAAACGAAATGTATGAAATTCATGACTCCAAATGTCAAACAATTAAATACTAATGTAATTTTAAATGGGGAGAAACTGAATCTTGTAGATACCACCATTTTTCTTGGAATCACAATAGACGCGAAGCTTCAATGGAGCCCCCATATATCAAAACTAGCAAGCAGACTTAGTTCTGCAGCATATGCTGTAAAAAAGATTAGAAGTCTTACCAGTGTTGAAACAGCTAGACTAGTTTACTTTAGCTATTTCCATAGCATAATGTCGTATGGTATTTTGCTATGGAGACACGCAGCTGACACTGAAATTATATTTGTTTTACAGAAGAGGGCCATAAGAGCAATTTATGATTTAAAGCCTAAAGAGTCGCTGCGACAAAAATTTAAGGAAATTAATATATTAACTTTGGCCTCTCAATACATTTATGAAAATGTAATGTACGTACACAAAAATAAAAGTAGTATTACAAAAATAAGTGATATTCATTATGTAAATACTAGGAAAAGACACAAGCTAGTAGTACCAGTTACTCGACTCTATCGAGTCAGTAATTCATTCTTGGGGTGATGTATACGCTTTTACAACAAAATTCCAGAAAATATACATAATTTGACCTGCTCAAAGTTCAAAAATTTTATTAAACTAAGTTTGTATAAAATCAATCAAATCTCGCCGCATGATCGGAACGTAAACCGAGCCATTCGGCGTGGTGGGCGTTAAAATCTGCTGTAGCAAGGAATCTGTAACCATTTGCACGTGATCGATGAGTTGGTCTGTTTCGGCATTAATGCTGTGGGACCTATACACACCCGTAGACGCGGGGATGGTCGTCGCTGTCTACGTGCAGCCATAGGATGGACAGGTTCGTACCTTCATGACTGCCGAGGCGTCGAAAACAGATGTCCTCTCTGACGTATACGCAAACTCGAGCCCGGTGCACAAAGGAGTGTTCTAATTTGTGCCCTAAATTAAAATTTTTGTTTTCTTACGTGGTAGAGCCATGCTGCAGCTTATATTAGTAATATAACTGTAGCACGAATGGGTCGGCTCGACCGGGGAAGGACCACGCTCTCACAGAATACCAGCGTAAAATAGAAGCTTAACGTTTCTGTGTCTCGTAGCTTCGTGGTGAGCGTCGAGAACCGGAGACCCTTTTTACTGGAAACGAGGCATTCCATCTTAGTCCTTACGGGTGGCAACGCATGTGCATTTTGATTCGTAATCGAAGATAGATGTAGATGTCTATGGGCCACAGCAACCACTTACCATCAGGTGGACTGTGTACTCATTTTTCACCCTTATCCTATAAAAGAAACCCCGGGTAGGAGAGATATGAAGTATCAGTCGGAGAGAACATATTAATTTTTGGTTCGATTTAGGCAGAAAATTAATATTAAAAAACTGAAGGTAGCCGGGCTAACTATGACATCAGGACGTCAAACACCTCAGTCCCCCGTTACCACGGGTGCTGGAAAGCACCCGAAACGTCGGGAATATAAAATAAGTTAATATACGCGATAAAATCCGTAAAATTAGTTTTATTTAAAAGACATATGATCTGGCGGCTCAATTACTTTGTTTTCTGATCAGGAACAAGTGACAGAATATTAATTTTTCAACCCACAGTACAGGACTTCATTACCGTGCTGGTCACCAATTGTCGCAACGTTAGAGGAAGCATCGTAGCTTGTGTCGTATGAACGTTTATTCAACATGCGTCTGCAATTACGGCTATCATTGGTATACCTTGAGACGACATATTTGCGATGAGTTTTACATGCTCCACCTCTTCTTTTCTAGCATCAACCATACGATGCTCCGCCATTTGTTACCACCATTGGCCAACTTATTTACGCGGTGCTTCATACAACCGCGGAGGTACGGTGGGATGTCTCCATAGGCAAGAACAATATGAAGCTGCATATATACGGCGCCAGTAGATATAATTCCTGCTATAACTTCCTGATTTACGCCCATTTTATTTTCACACATTATGCAAAGAAGTTTATCATTTTAATGAAGGCCATCTCTTTTTTCTTTATTAATACTGCTTGTTATGGCCCCCAGCTGCCCCGGCAAAAGTCGAATGGGCTAGGGCCCATAGTAGCTTCCTCGACGAGCAGCCGAGGGTTCGGGCCCAATGGCCTATGGATAATTCTAAATTAATGGCAAATAAGCAAGCACAACTTACCGAGTTCCGGAGGTAGAGTTGACCACAGGGTACCAGTCAGGTGATAAGTGAGGTGTATGTAAGTAGTGTGTAGTAGTGTTTTAAATGTAACCTGACATCGCCGATGTAGTCGGACCGCAGACCCACAGGCGATGCTTTTCTCCAAATGTGCGGTTCCTCCAGTGGGCATTCACCAATTGAAACTTTCAACTTTTATTTCACTATATTAGTTTATCAGTTTTATTATACATTAAATTAACTTCAAATTCAACTAAATCAGCGTTAATTGAAATTAAAACAAGTGACACACTGCTCAACTTAAGAACTGTCGGTCAAGGTTCAATGTTCCAGGTTCACTTAGCAACAAATTATCATCGAGCACACGACAAGCAAAATTCCTTCGCACGATATTAAGATGCCACAAGCAACTCGTCGACGCAAATTAATGTCAATCTAAGTTAAATTAATAACTCAAAACTCAAGAAACAGCCTCGTTGACACGTAAAACGAACGAAAATAGACAACACAGTGAGAGGCACTTAACGCGACGTTACAATTCAATATTAACTTCCAAAAGCAAATCAACCGACCGGCCGTCGCGCGACAAACCCCCCCCCCCCCCCCCGGCGGCGTTTACCTCACCTCAATACCATCGGATCACGCGCCGAGCGCGCGTTATTGGATGCAAATTTCAAATGCCCATATTTTGGCCTAGACACTGCTGTTCAAGAAATTTCAATAATTAGCCTATCTTTTGGCTTACATTCTTTAACTGCACATTTTAGCTCCTGTAGTTAAAAAAGAACAACATTAGTACCTAAAGTAAAATAATAAAAACAAAATCTCATCAGCACTTGGGATTGTCTTACTTTGCCTGAAGTTAAACCATAAACTAGTAAGCACAGAAACCTTGTTAATCATGCATAAACTAAACTAACTAGCTTATATAAAATAAATTTACCAAATTTTTAAATAAATGCTCTTAATTTTTTCGTTTTCTTTTATTTGCTAAATATAGCCTGGTTTTATTTCCCATTACGTCTGAATTATAATTTAAAAAATAGATTTTGTCGGCCATGAAAAATTATAATAAAATATTTTACTTACTAAAGGACTACGACTTAACACTAATAGTGAACTATCCGCGTATACACGGCAAACGCCAGGCAGAGCGCAAAGTGACGTGACCTCTGTCTGGGAAGCCTATGTGGCTGTTTAATTTGAAAAGATGTAAACCGGAGTTTTATTGTGGTATTATAGTAATTTTAAAATATTTATAAAAAAATAATAAAGGTATTTAATTTTTAATTTTAAAGGGTAACGGTTAAGAAATATGTTCTTCCAACATATTAAGCTATTATTTTATTAAATTAAGTAACATAAATTGGTGAAAATAATCGTTTTATCCATAGCATTTTCATAAAAATTTCACTTGGTTTGAATTTTTAATTTCTTATGTACGAGTATAATACCTAATTCAAAATATTTTTTCTGGTAACTATTTTCCTTGGGGTTTGCCAAATTAATTGTATTTTTTTTGTTCGTAAAATTGTCAGCAATTTCAGATATTTTAAGCTTTGAAATTGACGCTAAAAGCGAAATTAAGAAAACATCTGTTTAGTTTTCTTAATAGCATCCACAAATGCTAATTAATAAAAAAAATATCCTACAACTATTGAGACCATAAATTTTTTAGTATTTAACATTTTTGTAACATAAGCGGCTGATGGATATTTACAGGTTTGAAAAGTACTGTTTTGAGCTAATCAGCGCTTGGAACGTATATACTTCCTTAAGTAAACCTTTACTACTTAATACCACTTGCAAAATAATTCTATGAAGTCTTAAGTGACATAGAAATCATTGACTTTGAGTCTCTTATGAACATTATATCGGAAAGAAATAAAACATAGAGAACATTCCAACATGTCATAAATTAACTGTCTTTGTTCATTAAAGTAGTTCTTATAACTTTTAGTATAATTAGATAATTGGTTTTTGTGGCATGTGCCGGGTGAATATTTGCACAATTGGTGCGTTTCAGAACATGAACGAGGGCGCGTCGTGCGACCCCCACGGGCGCAGCAGCCTGATCACGAGCTACGTGCAGTTCCAGTGCACGCTGCCGCGGCCCTCGCTCGCCGACACCGACATCGGCCTGCCGCTGCCGCCCTCCGGTACTGTACACGCACACACACACGCACATATGCACGCACGCACAGACACGCACATATGCACGCACGCACAGGCACACGCATTAACACGCACGCAAGCACGCAGATCGCAAGTACTCGTACGCACACGCACACATTAACACGCACGCAAGCACGCAGATCGCAAGTACTCGTACGCACACGCACACATTAACACGCACGCAAGCACGCAGATCGCACGCACACGCACACATTAACACGCACGCAAACACGCAGATCGCAAGTACTCGCACGCATACGCACACATTAACATGCACAAAAGCACGCAGATCGCAAGTACTCGCACGCACACGCACACATTAACACTCACGCAAGCACGCAGATCGCAAGTACTCGCACGCACACGCACACATTAACACGCACGAAAGCACGCAGATCGCAAGTACTCGCACGCACACGCACACATTAACACTCACGCAAGCACGCAGATCGCAAGTACTCGTACGCACACGCACACATTAACACGCACGCAAGCACGCAGATCGCAAGTACTCGTACGCACACGCACACATTAACACGCACGCAAGCACGCAGATCGCAAGTACTCGTACGCACACGCACACATTAACACGCACGCAAGCACGCAGATCGCACGCACACGCACACATTAACACGCACGCAAACACGCAGATCGCAAGTACTCGCACGCATACGCACACATTAACATGCACAAAAGCACGCAGATCGCAAGTACTCGCACGCACACGCACACATTAACACTCACGCAAGCACGCAGATCGCAAGTACTCGCACGCACACGCACACATTAACACGCACGAAAGCACGCAGATCGCAAGTACTCGCACGCACACGCACACATTAACACTCACGCAAGCACGCAGATCGCAAGTACTCGCACGCACACGCACACATTAACACGCACGAAAGCACGCAGATCGCAAGTACTCGCACGCACACGCACACATTAACACGCACGCAAGCACGCAGATCGCAAGTACTCGCACGCACACGCACACATTAACACGCACGCACTAATATATACAATGTTTTTATAATCTTAACATATTTCTTACTCGCGATAATTCTCAAAAATATACAAATTAATATTCAACTACTACTACTACTACTACTACTACTACTACTACAGCTCATAACAAGAACGGCAATATGCCCCGAGTCACCTGCATCCATCGGTTATGAATTGTATGACTGTTAAGTTACAATTGTTCAATTATAATAATTATTATCATTATAATTCTCAACCCTTTATTAACTATCACTATCACTATTATTGCTAGACATAAGCCTCCCCCATATATTGAATTAAGTACGATCTCGAGTCACCTGCGTCCATCGACTCCATCTAATAGACGGTCGTATAACACTGCGCCTGCCAGTACGAGGTTGGCACTCGAGCCTTCTTTTCCATTGAACAAATAAATCAATAATGCTCGATATTAATTGTTTTAATTGTTGCCAGCTTTGCTTACCATCTGATTACAATGTTGGTGTCTTCAATGCAATAGTAAATAGTGTGACCAGAGTAAATAGTCCACTACACTGAATTTTGGCCACGGCGCCCAGTGTCAAAGGAAACAAGCTATCGATGTAGGACATGATAGTAGTGCACTTGTGTATACGCATTAATGCGGAACTATGGCCGTGAAAGGAAAAGGGGGCATTTCCCGCCGGGCAAGTTGTCCAGCCCGGGGAGCGGCTATCGGTCCGTGTTTTTTTGTTATAGGATAAGTGTGATAAATGAGCACACATTCCACCTGATGGTAAGTGGTTGCTGTGGGTCATATACATCTACATCTATCCTTGATTAGGGAATCAAAATGTAGATGCTTTGTTACTCGTGAAACTATGATGGAATGCCTCGTTTCCAATAAAAAGGGTCTTCAGTTCTCAACACTCACCATACGAAACAAAGCAGCGTTAGCAAACGAGGATGGATGTAGATGTCTCTGGGCTGCAGCAACTACTTACCATCAGGTGGACTATGTGATCGCTTGTCACCCTTATCTCATAAAACAAAAAAATAACAAAATCCCAGAAAATATATAAAATTTGACTTCCGCCAAGTTTAAATACTTTATAAAACAATGATTGTTTAAAAAGGGATATTACAGTGTTAAGGAATTTATGGATTATAATAACTCCATAAGGAATGAGCCGATCGCTACCATGCTATTTCTAATTTGTTTTGTGTTGTTATTTATTGTGTAACTTTAATTATTGTAAACTGTTCTTTTATCTCGATCTGGGTTTCTTGTTGATTCTTCCCAGGACAAAGGTATTATCGGATAATTTACCACTGGGTAAATTAAACATAAGAGTGACTTTCGATAAGTATTATTTATAATCTATATTCAATAAAAAAGTTTGTATTTGTATTTGATGTGTTAGCTAAAATAATAGTATGCAGTGAATTGATGTGTGGTGCAGTGATGAGCGACGGGTCGTGCAAGATCGTGCACGAGGAGCTGGCGCTGCAGTGGGTGGTGGCCAGCGGCCACACGCGCGACCTCGCCATGCACAACTCCTGGTAACCACTGCCCTGCCACCACGCAAACCCAATTATCTAATTCTTTTCATCCATATAAAACTTTCGTTTAAAAACGAGATATTAAATGAGAAAAAAAATATTTTGAACTAGTATTTCCCCTTTTAATTTTTGCCCTAACCACTAAACTATAATCATTATCATTATCATCGTCAGCCTTAATTCGAAAGTCCACCGCAAACTAAACTAACTTAGTTTCCCTTAGCTCGTATAGCTAAGCCAGGCCGCTCCTTACCCCTTACCCCTCTGGCGCCTTTCGCTTAGTGTTGTTTGTTTTAGCTTATTTTTCGGTGGACGTACAACGATTTTCCAGGTTAGCTTACCTTAGTTCAATGAGCCTAGGTTTCACATAGTTCAGTTCGCGGTGGACGTTTGACTTTCATCCATACTCTAAAAATATGCTAGTTGACATGCCTTTCCTAAATTCGTCGTCCATCGTCATTGTTATTGTCATCGTCATCGGCATCGGCATCGTCATATTAACACGCATTGAGGCAACGCTACGGACACTTCTAGGCCTGGACCCAGCTGTGGGACGTACAAAGGATGTGACTTTATTTTATAGAATAAGGGTGACAAACGAGACTGATGGTTAGTGACTGCCGTGGCCCATAAATTAATATCCGATTAAGAATCAAAATTCAGATTGCGTTGTCACCCCTAAAGACTAAGATGGAATCGTTTCCAGTAAAAAGGCTCTCCGATTCTATAAATTTAGCATACGATACACAACAGCATTAAGCTAATATTTTACGCTGGTACTATGTGAGAGCGTGGTCCTTCCTCGGTCGAGCCGACCATAATACAGTTGTAGCGTGGCCCTACCACCTACGAACGTGAATAACAACCACTAATAAGACTAGTAATGTGACTCGTTGTTGAAATAAGTTGTGGATATTAATGTGTGGTGTGTGGCCAGGGCGCTGTTCGAGTTGATGGTGAAGTCGATGGTGGAGTACTTGTACTGGAGCGGAGCACACGAGGCCCCCCGCAAGGCGCGCTTCCCCGACCACTTCACCGACGACCTCACCACCCTCGTCAACAATGTCACCTCCGAGATCATCTCCAGGTACGTTTGGCTCATTTAGTCTAAAAGTGTCATAAAGCATTTAGGCCGCCATTTGTGACTCCTAAATGAAGGCGTTTACAATAAACGATAAATAAATAAATAGTTCTTTAAAGGTACTACTTCCTAGACGTGTTGAATAACAACACAGCGTCACGCCTGTAATACCTTTTTTTTATAGGATCGGCTGACAAACGAGCACACAGTCCACCTGATGGTAAGTGGTTACTGTGACCCATAGACATCTACATCTATCCTCAATAAAGACTCAAGATGCAGATGCGTTGTCACCCGTGAGGACTAAGATGGAATGCCTCTTTGCCAGTAAAAAGGGTCTCCGGTTCTCTACACTCACCATACGAAACACAGCAGCGTTAAGCTGCTATTTTACGCTGGTTTTCTGTGAGAGCGTGGTCCTTCTCCGTTCGAGCCGACCCATTCGTGCTACAACCATAATATAGCTGCAGCATGGCTCTACCACGTAGAAAAACCTCAAGGGGTAGATACTACTAGCTTTTTTTTTTTTATAGGAGAGGGGGCAAACAAGCATGCGGCTCACCTGATGGTAAGTGACTACCGCCGCCCATGAACAACTGCAACACCAGGGGAATCGCAGATGCGTTGCCGGCCTTTTAAAAAGGAGTACGCTCTTTTCTTGAAGGTCCCTAAGTCGTATCGGTCCGGAAAAATCGCTGATGGTAATCGATTCCACAAGGAGGCCGTGCGAGGAAGAAAACATCTTCTAAATCGCACAGTAGTGGACCGCCAATCATCCAGATGGTGTGGATGGTATCGGGAGTTCTGCCGCGATGTGCGTTCGTGGAATTTGGCGGCTGGGATTAATCCGAACAATTCCTCAGAGCACTCCCCATGGTAGATGCGAAAGAAAATGCAAAGGGATGCAACATCTCTTCGCAGTGCCAATGAATCGAGCCGATCGGAAAGGGCTCGGTCGTCGATGATTCGAGCAGCTCTGCGTTGGATGCGGTCAAGTGGAAGGAGCTGGCACTGGGGAGCCCCTGCCCAGAGATGGGAACAGTATTCTATGTGAGGCCGAACCTGCGCCTTGTAAAGTTGCAGGCGGTGTGCCGGTATGAAATACTGTCCCGCTTTGCTGAGCACGCCAAGCTTTTTAGAGGCCAATTTGGCCTTCCCTTCCAAGTGACCACGAAACTGCACGTCACTCGATATGTCGACTCCGAGGATACCGATACTGGCTGAGACAAGAAGGGGAGTGCCTTGAAACTGGGGAGATACGACAAAGGGGTGTGGGTTTAGATGGAAAATTGTGAAAGAAAAGTGGCTATCATTACATTGGCCCATGGCCTACGCTCCTACGTACCCCAACCCCAATAATCCAATAGTCGATTTTCACGGCATGTTTGGCAAGTAACATATTTGGCACATTATTTTTAACCGACTTCAACTAAGGAGGAGGTTCTCATTTCGAGTGTATGTTTTTGTATGTATTTTACGCGATATCTTCGCAGACTGCGAACCAATTTTGATGATTTTTTTTTATTTAATAGTTTATACTTCAAGGGTGGTCCCACATAAATTTGGAGAAAAAATTCTACCCCTAAGGCACAGAATAAATAATAGTACTACGTACAGAAGTTGCACTATTTGATGTTGACTGCTTGCTGACGTTTTAATAGCCTACATAGTTATTATTAATCAGATAAATCGCGCACGCAAGCTAAATAAAACTTTATCGCTGGGCGCGAATGTCCATATTACTTTGCATCTATTCCCCGTCACAACGGGCTTTCCGTGGTTGCTAAGGGCTGTTAATAAAGAGTAAAAAAATACATTGTGAAATGGTAAGTTACTTAGGTAAAGTACCTATGCTGACTATAATCGACCATATTTATCTATTATGTGAGTTCTGTGATGCCCAACGCATGCAACTTGCAAGGCCATTCGGGAATCGCGATGCTTGGTTCGTATAGGTAGATAGCGTAAACAACAAATAAACCCGAGATACGACTCCAAACAGAAATATGATCGTAATCTACGTAGTTGAAAATCGTGTAAAAAGAGTTTTAATTTCAGTATTTTGTGCTATTATAACTTAAAATATTTAATATTTTAATAATAAATAATTAAAATGTAAATTTCAACTAAGTTTTATAATAAAGTACTTAGGTATTACTTCTGTAGTTAAATTATTACTTAATTATTTTTTCGCTATAAGTACCTATCTAACAATAAAATAAAATAAATTTACCTTTCATTATCCTTCGGTAACTCAAAAAATGTATCTGAATCCTTTTAATTGCTGCGGGGATGGATGCTTAAGCAAGCATCCATCCCCGCAACAATTATAGTAGGAACGACGTTTTGCCATTATAATTTATCAAATAGATGGGTAATATACATATATATTATTCTAAAATTACATTAAAACTTTTTCAACTATTTTATCCTACAATTAAATATACTATACACTAAACAAAACCTATTTCGACGAGTATTTCAACAAGTATTTACAAAAAATTATTTACGTAAACAGCGTTAAAAAAAGTTTAACAGTCAATCGCCTAGAGCGCGTTAGCCCCGACTGCGATCTACCCCTGAGGCAGCTCGCGATTGTAGGTAATTATTTCACGCAGGTAGCAAGAGTGACAGAGACCTGCCTAAGGGTAGCAATAAATAACTTCTTTTTTAGCAATTTGAAGTCCCAGACCTACTGTTACGGTTACCGTTACAGCCTATTAAAGTCTACTGCTGGACATATGCCTCCCCATAGATTGCCTCATAGCGAAATTTTGCTATTGTTGCTATGTGTATTAGCAACAGCAGTTTTATTATGAAGTTCAGACGTTATGGGGGAGATGGTGCTGACCATCTTTTGTTTCAGTTTTCTTCTGTCGCCTCTTTCGACACCCATTGGATGATAAGTGGTAGTGGATACTCTTACGCCGCCACTACACACCAACAGGTATATAGAGATGTAAAACTACCATTTATCAGGTCATCTGAGTTCATAAAATATTTCTGATCTAAACTATCCGTAGTCGTGTTAGGCCGTAATTGGACGATGTATACTCTTAAGGACAGTTTGAAAAAAATATTGTATTTTAGATATGATTTTGACGAGCGAGAATTAATACTTCTCTAAATAGTATATGATATCAAAAACATAACTTGTAAAAAGAACAAGTCTCGTAACTCAGTTCTTCTACCGTAAAAAGTTGTGAGATCCATGTAATACCAAGTCGGTTAATTTATTCAGTCCCTACTTAAGGGTCCTCCTGTCTCAAATTATTACGTATTTAGCTAACCTAATAACATCTTATAGTGATCATATCAATATTAAAAATCTTTTATGTTTTAAATGCATAGGTTGACTGCCTTTTAACGTGGGAAATCCTCGCCATAAGAGCTTTTTTAATCTCCTTCTCTTCGTTACCCCTGTTTGCACATTTAGAAATGGATGTTTTTTTTTTGGCGTGACAGCTACGGCAAGAACAGCCGGCTGACGCAGAGCCTGAACAACAGCCTGGCGTTCTTCCTATTCGACCTGCTGAGCGTGATGGACCGCGGCTACGTGCTGGGGCTGGTGCGCGGCTACCACAAGCAGATGAGCGCCAAGATCGCGTCGCTGCCGGACGCTGTGCCGCTCGTGCACTACAAGGTGCGCCGCGCCAAGGAATACATGACACTACAACCTACACAATGTCCGCTCACCCTACCCCCCCCCCCCCCACCCCTTCCTACCGTTCTGACATATCACGCGACGTCCGGATTTCAATAGACATTTCATTCGTTCTAAGTGAATGGACGTATGTGTGTGTTGTATTTTATCTTAGAAATACACAAACCACACCTTTAACGTACACAAACCTATGCGTGTGGGTTATGGGTGTGGTAGGTGATTACGATTTATTTGTTTGATACATTTTATCGAGAGTGGCCAGCTTATAGCCACACTGCAGTGACCCACTCGACTCTTGCTCCAAGTAGCTGCTCATTGTGCTATTAGAGAACCGTTGTAGTGTATGAAGGCGCTACCGGTGACATTATTGTTGATTTACTTACTATTAACTGATCATGGAACAGAGATTTAGCTTTTAAAGCAATAAGCAATGTAATGTTGGTTAATTTAGAAGAAAAATTATAGAATTTATTAAAATAATTCAGTTTCAGTGCATGACACTTTTCACACACGTACAGTTAAGTAACATACAAACGGGCTGTGTTGGAACTAGTCTATTTTTACACCAAAATATATAATAATATTTTACCGTGTGGCCACGGCACCACTTTGTGGTAATCCTATCTCGTCCTCTGCGTGTAATAAAAGGCGAATAGGGAAGATGTCACGGTCACCGGTAGATGGCGGTATAAACATCTTGCATATGTCAAAATATACCCTGACTGGCAAGAGGCAGGAGCGTTAAAGTTGCGAAATATCTGATATAGCGATCGGCAATCGGTAACGGTTGTGGTAAGTTCTGCCTAATACAGCTTTAGCAGTCCACAGCTTATGTTCAGCTGTAGACTGCTAAAGCGCGTATAATGCAGAAAGGACCATATTAAATTATATTCCGCTGTGGATGTGCTCTGCCCTACTTAGAATATCAGCGTAAAATGACAGCTTAATGCTACAGTATTTCGTATGGTAAGTGTAGAGAACCGGAGACTTCATTGAAAACGAGGCATTCAATCTTAGTTTTTAATCCTTAATTGATGATAGATGTAGGTGTCTGTGTACCGCAGCAACCACCTACTTCTTTAAATATTAAATTTCAAATGGACTGTGTGCTTGTTTTTTTTTTATAGAATAATGGTGACAAAGCGGGTGTAAGATGTGTTTCGTTTACAATAAAAGGAGGCTCCGGTTCTCCACACTAGCCATACGAAGCACAGCAGCATTGAGCTGCTATTTTAGGCTGGTATTCTGTGAGAGCGTGGCTATACATGCGCCTTCCCGGTTGAGCCAACCCATTCGTGCTACTACCATAATAAGGCTGCAGCATGGATCTACCATATTTGTCACTTTTATTCTAAAAAAAAACCGGCCAAGTGCGAGTTGGACTCGCGCACCGAGGGTTCCGAACAAATCCGTAGGTATATAAGCTTAAAAGTATTAAAAATATTTTTATTATATAATGTAACTAAAAATTTATACTTTTCGCAATTTTTCATTTATCTGTGCTATAATACGTTGCTTCGTACCAAATTTTAAGATTCTGAGTTCACGGGAAGTACCCTATAGGTTTTGATTCGCTTGCGAATGTCGAAAATTTGCGGCATAAACGGCTGTATTTTTTGATTGTGTTGGCTTAGAAGTGTGATTTTTCACAGTTCCAAGGGACATTAGACTTGAGTATTTGATATGAATTTCAGCTTGATACCTCCACGCATTCCTGAGAAAAAGGGTCTTGACAGACAGACAGACAGACAGAAAACAAAGTGATCCTATAAGGGTTCCGTTTTATTCTTTTGAGGTACGGAACCCTAAAAATGTGATAGATATACGGTATAATCATTTACTTTACGTCAGACGTAAAATACTCAGACCAGCGATGGTCAGCAGCGTCAAATGTGCTAGACTTCTGGTACTCTCTATCTACAATCCGCCTGCTAACCGTGACGATTAAGGCAAATTCTCTTATATCTAAAATTTTAAAAATTCAAAACCCCCGGAACAAACAGAGCTGATGATCTTCAAACGGCTGAACAGATTTTCTTGAAACATAGCTAAGAACATTTTCTATTAAGGGATCTTACAAATAAAAAAAACTTAATCGACATTGGTTCATCTATTTAGGAGCTATGATGCACATACAGATACACATTTCGTCGAGGGTTAAAAATGGAAGTTGTCCATGTGGATTTCTACGGACCACTGATGAAGAAAGAAATATGTTCAGTACTAACACAATACATAATTTATAGAAAATAGCAGATTTATACAACTAAAAACATTTTATCAGTACTAAATTGGTAGCGAGCTCGGTTATAGCTGCAGAAAATAACTACAGCGCTCATTTTCAGACGGTATCAGTAGCTTCGTATGAGTCGGGAGTCGTTTAGGTCTAATTATGTTTATAGTTTAATATGTTTTTATCAATAATTTTGTACGTGTTTGTGTCGGGGAAAATAAGTTTACCGTTTCCGTTACAGCCTATTAAAATCCATTATTGAACATAGGTCTCCCGAATAGATGGCCTTATAAGTGGGATTTTGCCATAGTGGCCATGTTTGGCCAATTTGTTTGACACACGTAGTTTTTTATTTTTAGTTGTTATTAGGAAGACGCTGGTGTCCATCTCCTGATTTGTGTCCCTCTGTCGCCTCTTACACCTACGTGATGTTATGGTAGTGGATACTTTTACACTGGAACTACATTTTATCGTATTATATATAGATATGGTGAATAAGAAGTGTGTATAGACGATGTGGGTATTGTGTGCGCAGCTGTCGTTCCTGCGCATTGTGTGCTCGCACGAGCACTACGTGTCGCTGTGCCTGCCGGCGGGCGGAGAGGAGGCTGGCGAGTGCGGGGGTGGGAGCGAGGGCGGGGCGGGGTCCGGGGCTAGCGGGGGCGGGGGCGCCTCGCCGCGCTCGGGCTCCACGTGCCCGGGCGCCGCGCTGGCGCTGGGCGCCGAGTTCCGCTCCCGACACTACTTGGCCGGCCTCCTGCTGGCCGACCTTACCGCTGCGCTCGAATTACAGTGCGTTTTGCATCCTACTGTTTTATTTTTACAAAATAAGAGTGACAAACGAGCACACACTCCACCTGATGGTAAGTAAATGCTGTGGCCCATTGACATTTATCCAATAAAAAATCAAAATCCAGATGCGTTTTTACCGCTGAAAACTAAGACAGAATGTCTCGTTTCCAGTTAAAAGTCTCCGAATGTCTACACTCACCATATGAAACACAACAGTATTGAGCTGCTAGTTTACACTGGTATTCATTCTGTGAGAGCGTGGTCCTTTCCTGGTCGGGCCGACCCATTTGTGCTAGAATCATAATAGCTGCCACATGGCTCTATCAAGTATAAAAATTCTTAATCATAATCATTATAAACCTATCTCGATTGTCACATAAAGTAAATATTTGCTCTTATAGTACGTAAAATAGTAGCATAAGATTCTTAAACGTTTTCACCAGAATTGTGCGAAGTAGCTAAACGATGCGCGAGGAAAAAAGTCACCAATAAAATAATTTATTTTTCTAGCTGATTTACTGAGCAAGTAATAGTAACGGGCTCAGCGGAGTAAGCTCTTTATAAATACAGAATATGGATAAATAGCCCCCATTCAATAAACCTGTTCACACGAAATTAAAGAAAAGAATCAGCTATTTTATCTTTATACCGCTTAGCCTTTTTCTGCAGCTTTGGTGGAAACGTAGGTTAATTTATTCCTTGTGGTTTGTATGGTCGGCCGTGTCGGATTAACATCCTATTGGACTATGAAAGTGAAGCAATAAGGAATACTTGCGCAGAAACTATAATGTTGTTCTGCATAGATGGGTAGTCTCCATTGATATTGGCCGCTGTGTAAAGAAAAACCAGAGAAACTTTTATTGGTAACGATCCAATTGACTGTGTAGTTGTGATGTGAGAATATCCTCTACCACATATTGTCCCGTGGGTATCGTAAGTGTGTAACGTCCGCGTGCAAGTGGTCTGTATCACTTAACCCGTCACGCGATTTTGTTTAGACCGCTTCTATTGTAGGGTTAGGTGTTGTGAGAAAACAAATTGAATCCTTTGATATTAGTTGGTATATAGTAGAATACACGCCGAGGTGTTATGCAATGTATTAGTATTTGAAAGATGATTTTTAAGGTCATTGGCATTATACGCGAAAAACTCGAAAACTGCGAAGCTGTGGTTGGATCACTAATCAAATAATAAATCTGTAACTATGGCGTCAGTAACTAAGTACCTAATTATATAGATCTACCTATAAGTAATAATATATTACCTTTCATTATTTGAGAATAAAAATTCGACATTCCTATTGTTATTTAAGCATTCTTATGCTTATGCAGTACCTTTTGGCTTTTTCAGAGGCTAAAAAGAATAAAAATTCAAAAATAAATATCAAAAGTAAGGCGCGTGTCAGTTTGAGCGGGCGCGTGATAACCTCACGGAATTAGCCCCGCATACGGGCCCGCACAGCGTAGGTATATTTTCATACCTAAAGCGTGGAGTGAGACAGGCCTTGTTAGCCCTCAAAGGTTTTACGCATTGACTTTAGTGGTGAGGCTATTCTTTGGCTATGGTTTTGAGCGTGCAGCGGTGCGTCTGCATGTCGCTATGCATTTAATAGTGCAGCGGTGTGATTGCACTTAGCTGTGTACCGTGTGCCGTGCAGGAGCCCGGCGCTGCAGGGCGGCGCGGTGAGCGCGCTGCTGTGGCTGCTGAGCGCGCACGACGCGGACCCGCGCCTGCGCGCGCCCGCGCTGAAGGCGCGCGTGGCCGCGCTCTACCTGCCGCTGCTGGGCATCGTGCTGGACGCGCTGCCGCAGCTGCAGCAGCTGCACCGCCCCTCCAGCGTGGCCAGAGGTACCGTGTGCTGTGCCGTGCAGCAGCCCGGCGCTGCAGGGCGGCGCGGTGAGCGCGCTGCTGTGGCTGCTGAGCGCGCACGACGCGGACCCGCGCCTGCGCGCGCCCGCGCTGAAGGCGCGCGTGGCCGCGCTCTACCTGCCGCTGCTGGGCATCGTGCTGGACGCGCTGCCGCAGCTGCAGCAGCTGCACCGCCCCTCCAGCGTGGCCAGAGGTACCGTGTGCTGTGCCGTGCAGCAGCCCGGCGCTGCAGGGCGGCGCGGTGAGCGCGCTGCTGTGGCTGCTGAGCGCGCACGACGCGGACCCGCGCCTGCGCGCGCCCGCGCTGAAGGCGCGCGTGGCCGCGCTCTACCTGCCGCTGCTGGGCATCGTGCTGGACGCGCTGCCGCAGCTGCAGCAGCTGCACCGCCCCTCCAGCGTGGCCAGAGGTACCGTGTGCTGTGCCGTGCAGCAGCCCGGCGCTGCAGGGCGGCGCGATGAGCGCGCTGCTGTGGCTGCTGAGCGTGCACGACGAATACGAATTTTTTTCATTTTATTAAATATAAAAATACGATTACACTTCACACAACACACACACAGCAGATAGTCCACTGCTGAACATTTCGCTTGAATTCAACGACAACCTGCATTTTTACCAGGTCGTCACTCTCATCTATAATTTTATTTACATCTTATTACTAAATTCCTGTTTTTTTATTAATCTAACTTTTTTGACTGCACAATATTTTTTCTTATCTCACCTAATATTTTACAGAAACACTTCATTTAGACGGCGAACTAAGTCAGCTCGGAAATTTCTACTCGATGTCGTCTCCTGAAGATTTCAAACAGGTACTTACTTATACAGGGTTATTTTTCAAAGAGTAGCAAAATTTTAAACTTATGTTCAAATATATAAATAATAGCATACCTCCATTGAAGTTTTTGAAACGTAAATAAGGTCTCTACATTTATTTGAAGTTATCCCATATTTAATGTGATTAATGGGTAACAACTACGCATACGCGCGTTCCACAGTATATGATTCACTATTGAGGGCTAATAATTTTCTGCTCACCAGATATTTGTTGTTGTTGTTGCACTGAGGTAATTTTTTTTTGTTATACAATGTAATTTAATTGTAAAGTTGTTTTTTTAATAAAACTTTATTAGTTTCTAGAGTATTATATTAATACACAAAACAATGCGGCAGTGGTTTGCTCCTTAATTTTTTGCACACTTTTAACTGTGCATGGTTGCAGAACGGGCGGGCGCCGTTCAACAGCGAGACGAGCCGCAACCTGCTGATGTGCCTCGCCTGGCTGCTCAAGTGGACGCAGCGCGACGTGCTGGCCGCCTGCCTGGCCGAGCTGCCGCCCGCCCGCCTGCACGCGCTGCTGGCGCTGCTCGACCTCTGCTTCAAGTGCCACGAGTACACGGTACACGCCACACGCCACACACAATAATAATAATCATTTATAACTAGATCGACCTTTAAGCCTTGGATACACTTGGGAACAAAAGGAGCGGCATGTTGCGAACATGTCACTCAACAACTACGTGAAATGCCCCGAGACACATGTCGCGGAACATTTTGCAGGCCACACTAGTCAGTGTTTATAGAAATGTCACCCGAAGAGGTTGTGACTATTAGTGCTGAGTACATAGTATTTACTTCAGGAGTGAAACATAAGCGAAAGAGAAGGTGGTGGATGCGGAATGTCTGACGGATCTTTTGTGAATTGTGCTCGAATGTCAACATCTGATTTTGAAACTTTATTACAAATGATCGAACCTTCCATAGCTAAACATGATACAATACTATGGAACTCTGTTGGCCCTCATATCAGATTTGCCTTTGAATTAAGATACTTGTCGATTCGAGATTCTTACGCTTCCCTATCGTACATTTTTCGAGTCTCGAAACAACTGATCGGTAGAATAGTACCACAAGTTTGTGTTTTGAATTATCCCATAGCAAAACATAACTGTGGTACCTAAAGCTAGTAAAAGCACCATTTCGTTTCCCCACACTACTGACATTTTTTTATAGGAGAGGGGGCAAATGAGCATGCGGCTCACCTGATGGTAAGTGACTACCGCCGTCCATGAACAACTGCAACACCAGGGAGGGAATTGCAGATGCGTTGCCGGCCTTTTAAAAAGAAGTACGCTCTTTTCTCGAAGGTCCCTAAGTCGTATCGGTCCGGAAAAATCGCTGATGGTAATCGATTCCACAAGGAAGTCGTGCGAGGAAGAAAACATCTTCTAAATCGCACAGTGGTGGATCGCCAATCATCCAGGTGGTGTGGATGGTATCGGGAGTTCTTCCGCGATGTACGTTCGTGAAATTTGGCGGCTGGGATTAATCCGAACAATTCCTCAGGGCACTTCCCATGGTAGATGCGAAAGAAAATGCAAAGGGATGCAACATCTCTTCGCAGTGCCAATGAATCGAGCCGATCAGAAAGGACTCGGTCGTCGATGATTCGAGCCGCTCTGCGCTGGATGCGGTCAAGTGGAAGGAGCTGGCACTGGGGAGCCCCTGCCCAGAGATGGGAACAGTATTCCATGTGAGGCCGAACCTGCGCCTTGTAAAGTTGCAGGCGGTGTGCCGGCATGAAATACTGTCCCGCTCTGTTGAGCACGCCAAGCTTTTTAGAGGCCAATTTGGCCTTCTCTTCCAAATGACCACGAAACTGCACGTCACTCGATATGTCGACTCCGAGAATTCCGATACTGACCGAGGCAGCAAGGGGAGTGCCTTGAAACTGAGGAGATACGACAAAGAGGTTCTTTTTAGCGGTAAACGCGCAAACTTGTGTCTTCTGAGGATTAAACTGGACTAGATTTAGTCGCCCCCAATCCGAGACATTGTTCAGCAAAGACTCGACTTCAGACACAAGTTTGTTCCGGTACTCGGCGACGTTTTCCCGAGAAATATTGGCACGGCCGGTGTATAGAGCATCACCAGTGCTGTCATCCGCATAGCAATGAATGCTACCGGTTTGCAACATATCATTGATACGCAGAAGAAACAGCGTTGGTGGTAGCACACAGCCTTGTGGAACACCAGCGTTAATAGGCTTATAGTCGGAGCATGCACCGTCTACAACGACCTTGATGCTTCGATCTGCAAGGAAGCTGGTGATCCAATTGCACAATTTCTCGGGAAGCCCATAGGAAGGGAGCTTCGAAAGAAGTGCTTTGTGCCAAACTCGATCGAAGGCCTTCCCAATATCCAAACTAACAGCCAATGCCTCCCCCTTGGACTCTACTGTCTCCGCCCATCTATGTGTCAGGTAGACCAGAAGATCACCAGCTGATTGACCCCGACGAAAACCGTATTGGCGGTCACTAATCAGCTGGTGATACTCAAGGTACCGCATGAGCTGGCAGTTAATAATGGATTCCATTATTTTGGAGAACAAGGAGGTGATCGCGATAGGCCTATAGTTGGACGGGTCTAAGCGGTCGCTTTTTTTAGGGATCGGGTGGACAAAAGCTGTCTTCCATGAATTCGGGACTACGCCTTGGGACTAGGAGTACCGGAAAAGACGCGTTAGGACCGGTGCCAACTTCGGAGCACACGTCCTCAGCACAATTGGGGGGATTCCGTCAGGCTCACTCGACTTCTGGATGTCCAAGGAGAGGAGTGCTTTGTGAACTGAGCGCTGTGAGAACAGCACATCCGGCATGGAGCACTCACACCGCGGGATAGTGAACGGTGTTTTCCCCCCGTCATCAAGAGTCGAGTTGGACGCAAAAAGGGAGCCTAAAAGGTCGGCTTTGTCTTTTGCGCCTTGGGCCTGTGAGTCGTCCTCCCTGTGCTGAGATGCTAGTGATGGCTTATAGAAATTCCCTTGGACAGCCTTGGCGAGAGACCAGAATGCATGGGTTCCCGAAGGAAGGCGAACTAGTTTCTCGCCAATTCTGCCTATGTGCTCTGACTTTGCCTTGGCAATAACTCTTTTGAAGGACCTGGAGGCGAAGTTATACTTCTTTTTAAGTGTGCTGGTGTTGAGTCGCCGAAGCCGCAGCCCAGGCTTGATAACACCTGCTTACTGCGTAATGCAGTCTCACAGGAGCGACCAAACCAAGGCTGAGATCTGCCTCCGATGGGTACCACAGATGATGGAATAAATAGTTCCATTCCCTGTAGCACCACATCAGAGTCAGCAACAGCGCTGGGATCATTCGGCGAGAAGTAAACCCGCCCCCATGGGTAGGATGCAAAGAAAGACCGCATTCCGTCCCAATCCGCCGACCTGTAATGCCAAACACGGCGGCAACCTGCAGAACGCAACCGCGAAGGGAGCGTGAGTGTCATAGCTGTCAATTCATTCCAGTTAGGTAGGGAGCGCAGAACAGCGCGGGAGAGCAGAACAGATATTTTTGCAATAATATTTATTTACAAAAAAACCATGAACAAAAAAGTATTAATCTAAATCAAGCATTTTAATTGTACACGCCGCTAGCTGCCCCGACAAAGGTCGACCATACAGGGGCCCATACAGCTGTAGATTCGACGGACAACTAAGGGTGGGGCTCAAAATGCCTATGGACAATTGACCTACACAATAGAGATAAGGCTAGGTAAATAAATAGTACGTACCTGGTTCCGAAGCTAAGACCGCCCCAAGGCTCGGTCAGGCCGTAGGTAGGTGTAGGTGCATGTAAGTAGTGTATAGTAGTGTGTATAATGTTTGACTTGACTTAACCGTTGAAGTCGGACCGCAAATCCAGCGTTGCTTCTCTCCAAAGGTGGTAGGTAGTTCACTTTATCCGACCTCAAGTCTGACGTCACTTCACTATTTCAGTTTATCAACTTTATTGTGCATTTAATTAAAGAAGAAATTCCGAAAGAAGAGGAAATAGATAGAGATATAAGTATAGATGAAATAATGAAAGCAATGAAAAGTATGAAAGTAGGTAAGGCAGCTGGTTATGATAGAGTATCTCTCGAAATGCTAAGGGCTGGAGAAGGAGTGGTGGCAGACCTGCTGTACACCTTGTTTAATTTATGTTGGGAACTTAAGCGGGTACCGGGAGACTGGTGCAAAGCCGTGATAGTCCCAATATATAAGGGAAAAGGATCACAGCAGGACTGTAAAAACTACCGTGGTATCAGCCTTCTTAGCATTGTGGGAAAACTGTATGCTAAGGTACTAATTGAAAGAGTTATGAAAGAAACTGACGGAAAAATTTGGGATGTGCAAGCGGGATTTAGAAAGGGAATGGGATGTACGGATCAGGTCTTTTCCATGCGCATGATCGCCGAGAAGTTTTTGGCCAAAAACCAAAAAGTTTTTTGTGCGTTCATGGACTTGGAGAAGGCTTATGACAGACTGGACAGGGATGTGTTATGGCAAACACTGAACTCATTTGGGTTGAGCGCTGGTCTGATACAGGCATTGAAGTCTCTATATAGGGACTCTAGTGCTTGTGTCAGGATCAACGGGGCCTACTCGGACTGGTTTGACATCCATAAAGGTGTCAGACAGGGCTGTGTGGCTTCCCCGTGGTTGTTCAACCTGTTTATGGACAGTTGTTTGGAAAATTTGAAAGTAGAAGAATGCGGGTTAAGAATGGGTGAGTTAACCGTCAAATGCCTTTTGTACGCCGATGATCAAGTCATACTTGCGTCGTCGGCAGCCGAGTTGCAAATGATGGTTACATTAATGAACAGGACATTAAAAGAAAAGGGAATGAAAGTGAACGCAAGTAAGACGAAAGTTATGGTTTTTGAAAGAGAAGAAAGTAAAACGATATGTGAAATAAGAATAGAAGGGGAGTTGGTAGAGCAAGTAGATGAGTTTGTATATTTGGGATGTGTGTTTAGCAGGGATGGTAGATATGATAAGGATATAGAACGATGAGTGAATGCAGGAAATAGAGTGAATGGGGCTCTACACTCTATTGTGAAAAGTCAGAATGTGTCCAAAAAGGCACGTATGGCAATTCACAATGCTGTGTTAGTACCTACTTTAATGTATGGTAGTGAAAGTTGGGTGTGGCAGAAGAAGCATGAGAGTAGAATAAATGCTGTAGAAATGCGGTCATTAAGGAGTATGTTAGGGATGAAGCTGAATGACAGAGTGAGAAATTGTTTAATAAGAGAAGAGTGTGGTTTGCAAGATGATGTTGTGACCAGGATTAAGAAAGGAATGCTTCGGTGGTTTGGCCATGTAGAAAGAATGAATGAGGAAAGAGTGACAAAGCAAATTTATGTTGCAGAGGTGAACGGCATAGTCGGGAAGGGTCGCCCTAGGCGAAAGTTTATCGACCAAATTGGCGATATATTAAAAATGGGCCAAATCAAGAGTACCTTTAACCGACGAGCGTGTATGCGTAGGTATATGGATGTGGAGGAAGCGAGAGAGGTGTGTCAGGATCGTGCCAAATGGAAGTCCATAATCTCTGCCTACCCCTCTGGGTGACAGGCGTGAGTGTTTATGTTTTATGTTTGTTTTTAATTAACTTCAAACTCAACTAACTCCCCGTTAATCGTAATCAAAAAAATAACACACGGCACGACTAATAAAGGGTGGATCAAAGTTCACTTCCGTTTCACGTAGCAACAAGATTATAACCACGAACAAGAACGCGATCTCTTCCCGAGTCACAAAGTTCAGCGTTACAACCGACAAACTAAATTCCTTCGTACGATATTAAATACTACGCCCGCATTAAGATTCAAAATCAGCCTAGCTGACATGCAAACTAACTACATAGACAACACACAAAAGGCATTTAACGCGACGGTACAATTAAACATTAACTTCCAAACAAATCGACCCGCCGTCTATTTTTCTAGACTCCACAAACTCCTCGTCTTTGCATAAATTTGCTAACAAAACCGACACTAATTAGAGGTTATACGGGACGACCTCACGCTCTCCTAGTGACTGCACTGCATTCAATCACTTCCGACCCGCCCCGCTAACAACCAATCCGATATCGCGCGAACGTCAACCGATAGGAAATCACCACGCTGCGCGCCCCCTGGCGTCGATTCTTGAAATTAGCGTTTGGCGCGAACATTAATTTCGCTCAGCTATGCATCACTGTCTGAATAGTCATCATTGTTATCATTATCATCACTGCTGCTTTTCCTTATAAAAATAGAAAATGGAGTTATGTAGGTACTTATTTAAAATATTCCACCGACGAGTATCAATATATTAAATTAATTTGTAAAAATAATTATAGGCTGTAAATTTTTCTACGGACTTCAAATAGCAGGAAGTACTTAATTCGACTGTATTTTCTTTTTTTATGTGTGTTACAATTTCGATGATTCTTTTTTGAAAGCTGGTGCTTCTCATATGGTCCCATATAAATTTGTTAAAATTGATCAAGGTCTGACAATAGTTTTTGAGTTAACCTTAATAATTTATATTAAAGTCGGTTGTACAAAATTTTAAATTTTAAATTATTTATAAAAACGGTTATGAGATCATTAGATTTGTTAATTCTCGGTAAAAGCGAAAAATAAAACGTTATTATTACACAAATAATTTTTTTTTGCATGCCATACCTTTCTAGTGACAGTCGACAGATCGTGGTCATGCGAGGTCATTGACGTTTCTATTCTTATTTGAATCACATTGTACCACCTACACACCACATAATACGATCATTAATCATGTTTTTTTAAACTGTTTAAGTGTACAATATCGTCCGCAGGGCCGTAAAGAAATACTCAAGTGCGCCCAACAAAACGTCCGCAAGACAACAGACATCAAAGCGAAACTAGAAGATGTCATCCTCGGACAGGGTTCTGCTCGCTCCGACTTCATTATGCGGCGTAAAGGTAAGAGCAATACTAGTGTCAATTCATAGCATAATCAATATTTTTCCCCAAAGGACACCGCTGTTTACAAATATCAGTCTGACACCTTACTCTCGGACCGGTTAAACCAGTGAAATTATTATTCTACTATGTGGTGGAGGCAAGAAGATGATTTATGTTGTACCCAGGAGACAAGACGAGGTAACAGATTATCATAACAGTGATAATCTGCGCTGTATTTTCATATACGTCCCTGTATTTCGAAATTTTTGATCATCAAAAAATCTCAATTAAAGGAATTTCCATTTTTTGACTCATCTTACATAACTCACTTAAGATTAGAGCGATCGCACAATGCGAAGGAAATGATGTCATTTTGTTGATATACAACGTTACAACATAACATTAGATAGTATAAACTAGCAACACTAGTCAATGGTTTTTATTGTTAGAAAAGAGTTTTCTACCGACTTCAAAAAAGAGACGGTACTCAATTCGACTGTATGTTTTTTTATGTGTTACCTCATAATTTTTTACTGGGTGAACCGATTTCGAAGATTCTTTTTTTTTATTTGAAAGCTTGTGCTTCACATGTGATTCCATATAAATTTGATCAAGGTCTGACTAATAGTTTTTGAGAGAGTGCAGTTAAGTTCTGCAGATGTAGGTGTCTATAGATTACAGAATCCACTTAAAGTCAAGTGGATTATATGCACGTTTGTCATTCTTAATTTTTATAAAACAAGAAAGCATACAGAGCGTTTTACTAGGTGCTAGGGTTCCTTTTCTTCCTAAGAGTCCGTCTAGGTAGGTACCACCCTCTTGAACCACCCGTGGAACGGAGGTAGACGATTCTGGTGAGCCGGATCTGACGGAACTTCTCCTTCAGCAGTTGTTTTGGCTATATTGAACTGGGATTTGGCGTGGCGGGCCGTAGCCATATTTTGTGAATTGTGTGTAGTGATACAGAAGAAGGCTGCTGAGCGGGATTTGGTGAAGGCGGATTCAGCTCAGAGACGGCGTCGTCAAGGCGCATCCGTCACGGCCCTTTGGTTGATGTTGGTTTTGCTCTACCAGAAATTAGGCCTGTAAGAATGTGGTTGCTTATGGTGGGGGCCTCGAATGCTTAATGTGGTAAACACGATAACTTTTTAAAATATAAATTATTCAACTCAATCTATTTTTAAAACTCTTCATCTATCACGTTGGAAGCCATGGAATGTAAATGGCAGTTTAATATTGTTTTGTTTAGCCATAATTTTTTTTCGGCCAAGAAATGGCGAAATTTCCGGTGGTTTGAGAGCCTTGTATTAATTTATTTTACTACATAGGTCGCAGCCGCACTCCGAGCCACAGCCACAGAGTATTTTATTTACTCCGTGCTCAAACGCCGTCGTAAATGGTTGTTTGTTACAGCGGCTCGTGCAGAAAAATATCGATCGCCGTAGAAATACAAAATATTCCAAAAACCATACTATTATTATTTTAGATTTTTATTACAATATTTTGTTTCGCTAAAAGCACGCAGGATTTATATATAAATATACTTATACGTCTTAGACTTTATAGACCTGTGTCGATAGAGGTGTGTCGGTATCTGCTACTGGAACTCCTCGAAGAGAATAACTAGATGTGCCGAGTTTGTCCTCATTTTGTTAGTTATGACGAGACTTTACCTTCGGACTTGATAGAGTGACTTGAAAGTGTACTTTGCTGACTGCTACTGGAGCTACTCGAGGAGTAGAACTAGATGTGCCGAGTTTGGGCTCGTTTTGTTAGTTATGATGAGACCTTACCTCCGGACTTGATAGAGTATCTTGAAAGTGTACTTTAATGACTGCTACTGAAACTCCTCGTCGAGGAGACCTAGATGTGCCGAGTTTGTCCTCGTTTGTTTGTTAGTTATGACGAGACTTTACCTCCGGACTTGATAGAGTGACATGAAAGTGTACTTCGCTGACTGCTACTGGAACTACGCGACGAGGAGAACTAGATGTGCCGAGCTTAGGCTCGTTTTGTTATTTATGATGAGACCTTACCTCCGGACTTGATAGAGTATCTTGAAAGTGTACTTTAATGACTGCTACTGAAACTCCTCGTCGAGGAGACCTAGATGTGCCGAGTTTGTCCTCGTTTTGTTAGTTATGACGAGACTTTACCTCCGGACTTGATAGAGTGACATGAAAGTGTACTTCGCTGACTGCTGCTGGAACTACTCGACGAGGAGAACTATATGTACCGAGTTTGGGCTCGTTTTGTTAGTTATGAATAGAACTTACCTCCGGACTTGATAGAGTATCTTGAAAGTGTACTTTAATGACTGCTACTGAAACTCCTCGTCAAGGAGACCTAGATGTGCCGAGTTTGTCCTCGTTTGTTTGTTAGTTATGACGAGACTTTACCTCCGGACTTGATAGAGTGACATGAAAGTGTACTTCGCTGACTGCTACTGGAACTACGCGACGAGGAGAACTAGATGTGCCGAGCTTAGGCTCGTTTTGTTATTTATGATGAGACCTTACCTCCGGACTTGATAGAGTATCTTGAAAGTGTACTTTAATGACTGCTACTGAAACTCCTCGTCGAGGAGACCTAGATGTGCCGAGTTTGTCCTCGTTTTGTTAGTTATGACGAGACTTTACCTCCGGACTTGATAGAGTGACATGAAAGTGTACTTCGCTGACTGCTGCTGGAACTACTCGACGAGGAGAACTATATGTACCGAGTTTGGTCTCGTTTTGTTAGTTATGAATAGAACTTACCTCCGGACTTGACGGAGTGACTTTTATGTATGTATTTTATTAATTTGTTATTTCTTTACGATTTGGCGGCAAATTGAAAATTGTCTGTGTCACGTCGGCATGAAGTTAACGCGAGGAAATTTTCGTACAGTGATTTTTTTATACTTTCGATGTCATTTAAGTCAACAAGAAAGTTATGATAGGCTTCGATTGGCCTTTCACGATGAAGCCCCATCTCGTACAACTGGTTTAATGAGTTTAAACGTGATCGCACTAATATCACCGATGATCTGCCTGAGGAACGATTATGAAGATGACTGAAGATAACATCAGTGTTGTGCGGCGTATGATAGAGACTGACAAAAGAGCTACTTATCAGCAAATTCGCACAAGCTTAGGCATCGGTATGAGTCAAGTGCAAAAAATCCTCCATGAACATATAGCGTCAGGAAGCTTTGTACCCGGTGGATACCTCATAATTTGACAGAGACCCAAAACCCGTTTTTTTTTATAGGATAGGGTGACAAACGAGCACACAGTCCACCTGATGGCAAGTGGTTACTGTGACCCATAGACATCTACATCTATTCTCGATTGCGATTCAAAATGCAGATGAGTTGTCACCCCTGAGGACTAAGATGTAATGCCTCTTATCCAGTAAAAAGGGTCTCCGGTTCTCTACACTCACCATACGAAACACAGCAGCGTTAAGCTGCTATTTTACGCTAGTATTCTGTGAGAGCGTGGTCCCTCCCCGGTCGAGCCGACCCATTCGTGCTACAACTATACTACTAATATAGCTGCAGCATGGCTTAAAAATTAAATGGTTCAAAAATTTAACGGAGGTGACTCAAATGCTGTGTTCGACATACTTACGGGTGACGAAAGCTGGATTTATTGTTATGATTCTGAAACTAATAGACAGTTTGCTGTCTGGGTATTTCCTTCCGAGGAGTTGCCAACTAAAGTGAAGATTTCATTCTCAGTGGTTCCATCGGGAACCACTGAGAATGAAATGCAGCAATGTATTGATATAAATCGACACTATTTTGAAGAGGTATAATAAAACTAATAACTTGCTAGTTTGTTTAGTTTTTGATTTTATGAGAACTTTTAGTGTCACCCTCGTATAATCAAATTTATCTAATCAGATATAGGTAATCAAAATATTAAAATCAAGGAAAAATGTAATCAGTACTTACAACTATTAACAATTTAAAACGATTAACAATTTACAACAACGAACTATTTACTAGTTTCACTCGAAAAACTAAATCACTGCGTTTTGACAGCTGGGTTTATTACTGAATTACCATCTCGAGCACCTCTAAGTGATGGAGTAGTGAACTGTCTAAAGTGTTTTTATAATTTATAGACAGTCTTTGGCTTGCTGCCAAAATTGTACTCCGATTAGGTAATACATGTGCGTTATAAAAATAGTACGCACTTGTACGTAACAAGGTCATTATCAAGTCTATACTGTTAGCCGGCTGGGCGACCGTACCTAGCGGTGCCTTACGGAAGGCAAATGGCAGTGAGACGCGCTTATCTCTACCGAGTCAAAACAACTATTAGATACTTACATCTTTAAGCAGTCATTAGCATTCAGCGCGAGCGCTGAATTGGCTGAATGCTAATGACTGCTTCCGAATTCAACTACGAATGTACCTCCTCTGACCTCTTTTTATATTAAAAAAAAGTTGTTACTTGTCAAAAATATCGTGACTGTTGTTTGTAATGTAGGCGGGTCGTCGGGGCGCGGCGCGGTGATGTCGCGCGGGGGGCGCGAGCGCTGGCGCAAGGAGTGGGTGCGCGGCGCCGGCGCGCGCTCGCGGCCCGCCTCCCCCGCGCGCCCGCAGCCCGCGCTGGCGGCCGCGCTCGCCGCCGAGCTCGCGCTGGCGCTGCTGCACGCGCTCGAGACCGTCGTGCAGGTACGTGCTGCACACTGTGCGCATACTGTGCCCCGCCCCCCCGCGCGCCCGCAGCCCGCGCTGGCGGCCGCGCTCGCCGCCGAGCTCGCGCTGGCGCTGCTGCACGCGCTCGAGACCGTCGTGCAGGTACGTGCTGCACACTGTGCGCATACTGTGCCCCGCCCCCCCGCGCGCCCGCAGCCCGCGCTGGCGGCCGCGCTCGCCGCCGAGCTCGCGCTGGCGCTGCTGCACGCGCTCGAGACCGTCGTGCAGGTACGTGCTGCACACTGTGCGCATACTGTGCCCCGCCCCCCCGCGCGCCCGCAGCCCGCGCTGGCGGCCGCGCTCGCCGCCGAGCTCGCGCTGGCGCTGCTGCACGCGCTCGAGACCGTCGTGCAGGTACGTGCTGCACACTGTGCGCATACTGTGCATACTGTAAAAAGTTATGGTGTTGCAGTCATGTAGAGTGGCTAACGGTACTACACATTAATGTGACACCTATTATAAATTGAAGTGAGCAATAAAGAGGAGTTGTTCGATGTTGGGTGTGATTGCAGTCGGTGAGCGGGCTGGAGTGGGGGCAGCAGGCGTGCAGCGCGGCGCTTGGCGTGCTGCTGCGCGCGCTGCAGCGCAACCAGAGCGCCGCCGTGCTGCAGCACATGTTCGCGTCTGTGCGCGCACTCATCGTCAAGGTACAGCGGATCACACATCGCACCACCACTTTTATACTATTATTATTTTTATTGAAGTGAATACTTTTTTGAATCGTTGTGATTTGAAACTGGATGGAACGAAAAAGAGACAAACGTATACATCTATAGGATTTAGCCTGCGGGAGAATGAGATAGAATACAATATACAGTGTTTATTATAAATGTATTTATAATAAGTTTATTTTGTATTTTATATACAAATGCAAGACATTTTCTTTTCATTGTTTTTTCAATGTTTATCTACAACATACAGGGTATTTTTGAAACGCTCGCAAAAACGAAGACAGACGACAGTACCAACTATACTTTGATGATAGGTGAAATATAAAATCGATTCTGATGAAAAAAAAAATCATCTTTTCACAACGTTTTATTAGATTTATTCATGCTTCATCATGTTAGTACAGCTAAATGAAACGATAATTTCATTAAAAAAATCATGAAAATACTGAAACATAAAACCAGAAGTGAAATTACTGAATTGCAATCAGCTGACTAGAGGTCAATGTACGCGCGAACGGCTAACTCTTATAGGTTCCGTCACCACCGTCACGTAAAAAAACGCTGGCCTTGACCCTGGGCACTGAGCGATTTATCACTGAGTGGTACGAAAGGGGCGTGACGGGGGAAAAATCCGCCAGTATTACTGTACCGGCATGCTATTGGTTCATACTTCCCCCGCTTTATTCGCTCCCAAAATACAGTCGCATACACAGCTTACTTTGAGACTCGCGACGATGGTTTTAAAAAGAAAAATTATTTATATCTTTTGTTTTATGACTGAACTAGTGAACGAAAAGGTAAATATGATAGGAGAAGGTGAATGGGGAAAATTGTGCAGCAAAGTTAAAAGTGTTGAGGCTTCCTCCTTCATAACGAAAAAATTACCATGTGATCGACCTGATGACGGAAGCTCAAGCGAAGATGAAAGTGATGATGAAGTAGCATCCAGTAACACCAACACACCATCGACATCTGTACCCCGAGCATGAAAATTTTGCTCTATAGTACAATTTACGAGACAGTTTAGTTTAAGTAAAATTTTGTATGGGAATTTGAACAGCGCTCCGTGAGCGTATTTGGAACTAAAATTTAGAAGCACGAACATCTAACGTTGCGTTACGCATAGATATCGTTTGGTTTAAGTAATCGTAAGACGCAAAATGTGTGCATTTTGGCAACACGAATCTATTTTGACGTACGTTATCGTCTATCCACTGTAGAGAACTACGAAATTGTTCTCACCGACATTTTTACAGCGAGAACGCTATCGAGAAGTCTTAGTTTTAAGTTTCTCTGGGTTTTTCGTTGATTTCAGTTAAAAATATTTTTATTAAGAATAAATAGAATGAGATCCACGACTTTTTATTATTTTGCGTGGCGTTTGGCAGTCGAGAAAAGAAGGCAAAGACGAGAATTAAGGTACATAAAATGTACTATATTAAAGTATTACTAATTAATATTGTTCGCGCCAAACGCTAATGTTAAGAATCGACGCCAGGGGGCGCGCAGAGCGGTGATTTCCTACCGTTTGACGTTCGCGCGAAACCGGATTGGTTGCTTGTGGGGCGGGTCGGAAGTGATTGAATGCAGTGAAGTAACTAGCACGGCGTGAGGTCGTCCCGTATAACCTCTATTAGTGTCGGTTCGTTAGCAAATTTATGCAACGACGAGGAATTTGTGGAGTCTAGAAAAATAGACGCCGGGTCGATTTATTGTTTGGAAGTTAATGTTTAACTGTAACGTCGCGTTAAGTGCCTTTTGTGTGTTGTCTATGTAGTTTTTGCGTGCCAGCGAGGCTGACTTTGAATCTTAATGCGGGCGTAGTATTTAATATCTTATAATCTTGTTGCTACGTGAAACGGAAGTGACCTTTTATCCACCGTTCTTTAGTTCGTGCCGTGTGTTACGTTTTTGATTACGATTAACGGGGATTTAGTTGAGTTTGAAGTTGGGTTGCTGATGGGCCCTAGTCCAGTCTACCTTGTTTGGGGCAGCTCAGGGCGTGTACAAATACTTAGTCGGGTCATAGGTTCTGTCAAAACCTTATTATTTAAAATTTTTGAATGCTGGCTAGAAGAACTTCACCAATTTTAGAAACATAACGTTTGCGCTTGCTGAAAATAAAAGAGACATTAATTTTCATTAATTTTCAAATATTGAGTGATCGAAGAAAGAAGAGCGGTTATCGCGTTGCACCGCTGTAGTTACGCGTCAAGAGAGATTTTCAATATTCCACAAAAATTGAAAATAACCCTACGATTTGTTTTTCGCACTATCAAACGATTCACTGAAGATTCAAGCTTCGAAGCTCGTAAGAGGACTGGCCGACCTCGTACAATTAAGACAGCCGCGATTATCAAAGCAGTGAAGGCGCGAATCCAACGAAATCCTGTTCGTAAACAAAAAAATTTAGCTCTTCAGATGGGCCTAAGCAGAACCACGGTCAAAAGAGTGATCAATGAAGACCTAGGACTAAGAGCTTATCGTAAGAAGACCGGACATTTTTCGAACGAGCGTCTGAAAAAAATTAGGCTGGATAGATCCCGCGCTTTGTTACGGCGGTACGCGGGAAAAAAATACCGCGAAATTTTGTTTTCGGATGAAAACATTTTTAACATCGAAGAAATTTATAATAAACATAATGATAAGGTGAATGCTCACAGCAGTAAAGAAGCCACCTCGCGTATTCCGAGGGTTCAACGAGCACGTTATCCTTCGTCACTCATGGTTTGGCTTAGAGTCTCATATTCAGGCTTAACTGAGGTGTTTTTCGGTGAAAAAGGTGTAAAAACCAGTGCTGAGGTGTACCAAATTACCGTCCTAACAATCATAATGGAACCTCTTTCTCAAACAATGTTTAAAAACGGACATTGGATATTCCAACAGGACTCTGCACCAGCTCATAGGGCATGAAGCACGCAAAACTGGTTGACCGCATGGAATTGACTTTATCGGACATGAAGACTGGCCCTCTTCTAGTCCAGATTTAAGCCCACTGGATTATAAGATATGGCAACATTTGGAGGAGAAAGTCTGCGCTAAGCCTCATCAGAATTTGGAATCTCTCCGAGCATCTTTGGCTAAAACAGCGGCAGAAATAGATATGAATGTGATGCGTGCTGCGATTGATGATTGGCCGATTCGATTAAGGGCATGTATTCAAAATAGGGGAGGGAATTTTGAACAATGTAAATAAAATTGTATACTAAATTAAATTACCTTTCATTTCATATATAATTTGTATATAATCAAAAAGTGTATCATTAAGTTTATAAAAAGTTTTTGACGGAACTTATGACCTGACTATGTATATTCTGTAAATACCCTTACCTTAATTATTTAATTGATTAATAATAAATGTTTTTTTAATAGCTGTTTAAATTAAAAATATCTAAATAATTCCAGTGGTATTACTCAACGCGTTTTTCTTCGCCGAACTGAAGAACCTATGAATATTTCTGAAAGATACAGATTAAGTAAAATGCATTTAAATTCCTTTGCCTTGAACTTCCCTCTAAAATAAACTTGACAGGGCAAATTATTATATATAAATTCTAAAATAAATGAATAAGCTTAGAGCTTAAGGTATAAAACAAATAATGCTCAGAATTAATTTACCTGCTATAGTTATTATGCACCTAACCTCATATTTTTTTCTTTGTGCGTTTATATTTTACACAACAGGCTCTTATCAACGTTTAGTCGGTACGAGAAAGAATTTGGGCCAAACAAGTGTTAGCAAATGTGCCTCTCAAGTTAGGAGGCACTTAACAGCCAATAAATAATAACCTATACCTTTATCAGGTTCCCCACTTCAAGGGCTGAGAGAGACGTCATAAAAGTACCTTACTTACAATATTTTATTTTTAGCTTTGTTAATGAATGAAAAATAGCTGGAGAGATGCTTAAACAGGGATCGCAATCTGCATTACAAACCCAAAAAATACGCCAAAATTATTATAGTTATAGCTCGTTGCGTCCTACATAATATAGCTATGCTATTTGGCGTATCATGCCCAGAGGTAGATGTGTACGGTAACAATTTAAATGACCACATGAGCAACCTGATTAATGTATTATAAGAAGTGACAGTAGTCAGGGTTAGTAAGAGGTCGTGCTATGAGAGGAATTGTTGTAGAGATAGCTTAGTGCAGTGTAGTTCTTCTGTATGTAATTTGTGTTTATGCCCAGATTTAATTTTTATATCAATAATAATCTAACAATGATTTATTTATTACTTTATTCATAATTTATGTAAATTAAATATTTTTTAAATTTCGACCACTGCCAATATGAAAAAAATATTAAGCAAATATAAATAAAAAGGATTATGTTAATATGTATTAAGGAATTTATGAATGGCAAATAACCCCTGGGAATGAGGTAGTTTCTACTAAGTTATTTCTAATACCACTTATAGTTAATTGTGTAACATAATATATGATTGTAAACAATTATTCTTCCTAATTCTTCCCTGGACACAGGTATTTTCCGAACCAGTGGTTAATTAAACATAAGAATGACCTTAAATAAGTACTAATTATAATGTATACTGGACAAGAAAAAATCCATTTGTATTTCTATTGAATCCAATTTTTTTTAATTAAATTGATTCTCTATTGTGTTGTAGGTATATCTACACAGTTTGAATAATGTTTTGATTTGTATTTGTTATTACGACTTTAGATTTTAAGTGTAGTCTATTTTTGCCGACATTAATATTAAGTTCAAATAAAAAAGTACATCAAAAATTTCAATGAGACATTTTATTAAAAACATGTACAATTATTATTATTTATATATTATTACAGTGAGCTTGCACCTGTAGCTCAGTATCATGTTGACAAAGTTCTCTGTAGTATCCTCTCTCGTTCTAATTATACAAATCATTATCTTTCCTTATTATCATTCCTTATATTCTCCTCACTCAAAAAAAATATTTTTCTAATGATCTAAGTGGTTTCTTTTTGGCTTGTTGTGGGGTGGGTTGCCTGTGGAGGACAGTTAGAGATTTCGGCGGTGTGGTAGATTTTGGAGGTGTTTGGGATATGGTTATTGTTAGGAATCTGGGATTGGATGGAGGTATAAGTACTGGATCCTTGCTGCCGCCAGGAGTGTTCCAATCCTCATCGTCTGAAAATATCAATTGAAAAACTTGAACTTTCTACATTACTTTCACAGTGATTTCATTTTTATATTGTTGAAAATATTTGAAAGTTAAAAGATGTAATGACTAATTTGAATTATAAGTACTTGATTATTATGATTTCTTTAATTTATAAAATAAACAGGACTCATGATTACACACTATTATCACTTACATCATGAAATTATAATAATTATTTTTATATATTTAACACACAAGAGTAGTTGAAGATGTATTCATTTCAGATGGTACAATTATTAAATTTTCTGTTTGTGACTTTGCGAGTATAGAATACTGTTTTATTAATTCCGGCAGATTATCAAAGGTATCGTTAGTACTATCGCCTGTCTTTGTTTTCGGGAGCGTTTCAAAAACACCCGGTATATGTGCCATTTTGTCCGATAATTTGTTGCCATCTTGTAAGTAGTAACATAATCCCGTTGCTGTAGAAACCTTGGGATTTTTGATCAAAAAATGCGACAAGTAGTTTTGACAGTTCTCTGTTCATGTTAACCTAACACTACTTAAAAAATTCTGAAGAGACCGAAACAGTGAAAATCTGAGGGTGCAAGGTCAGGACTATATGGTGGATGCATTAAAACTTATCAACCAAGCTTTCTCAATTTTTGCTGAATGGCTGAAGATATGTGTTGACTGGCGTTATCATGATTAAAGACCACTCCTTTTCTGTTGATCAATTCCTATCGTTTTTTCTCAATTTCTTGCTTGAGTCTCATTACTTGTTGACAATAAAGATCCGAATCGATGGTTTTACCCGGCGATAAAAGCTCGTAATAAACGATGCCCTTCCAATCCCACCATGCTCGTACACACAACATCACCTTATTGCGTGTTAATCCGAGTTTCACTACAGTCTGTGCAGCTTGACTACCCTTTGACCATGATCTGTTTCGCACGTTTTTGTCATAGGCGATCCACTTTTAATCGCCATTGATTAATCTTTTCAAAAATGGTTCGGTTTCATAACGTTTCAATAGAGAATCGCAAATGAGTACACGATTCTCGAGTTTCACGACGTTAGTTTCACAGAACGCGAGTAAACCCGGGTTTGATCACCGCCGGCACCAATGAAATTGTTAATTGTAATTTTAAGTGCTGATTTACCACGTGAGATAAGAAAAAAAAATATTTCAAAGTACATGTTGAAGTTCGCCAACACGCATAGCGCGGCGGACATATTCTTGCCCTAAAACCCTCTCAGAAATGAGATGAGGCCTGTGCCCAGCAATGGGTTGTATATAGGCTGTAACTTTAACTTTTTGACTTTAAAACGACTAAAAGGCTAAAAAATTACCAATAGCTCTTCTAAATTCATAGCACTTGTTACAATTTATTTTAAAAAGTTACGCAAAAAAATTGCTCTTCTTCAAAAGTATCTATCATTTGTGGTCATGATATACACAAAGAACATCGGCCAAATACGACTGACCAAAATATGAAACGACCACCAATGATTGATACGTGAAAAAATAGTGACTTAGGTGTATATTAAATTACGGGGTCCAACTTATTTTATTGAAGCCAGTAAAATAATTTAACTTTGTAATGAAATAACCTCATTTCCTTACTACTTTTTATAGGTTTTAAACGCATCTAAACCCGTCCCGTTTTTATCTGTGGTACACGTTTCATCATAATACTAAAGTAACACTACCATTATGCGTTTACTTCTTTTAACACTAGATTTTATTGTAGATTTTTTATTTATTTTTGTAAAGTATTATCAATAATATCATTTTTAGGGGATATGGAAAGTATTCCGAAATTAGTTGCAAATGATAGATTGACAGTAAATATAGAATGCACTTATACTTAGAACGGAACGTATTATTAGTGTCTCTATGCAGTCTGTGGTATTATGACACGAGAGCTGTTATTTTTGTAAAGTATTATCAATAATATCATTTTTAGATGGGGATATGGAAAGTATTCCGAAATTAGTTGCAAATGATAGGTTGACAGTAAAAATAGAATGCACTTATACTTAGAAAGGAACGTATTATTAGTGTCTCTATGCAGTCTGTGGTATTATGACACGAGAGCTATCAACGTCACGTGAGAGTCACGTGAGCAAAAGTCAAAGCACCTGTGTCTTGATACTTAGCAGTAAAAAGATTAGAAAGGTTATTGATTCATTTTTGTGGTTTTCTGACTTATTTAGATAAGTATATATTACTGCATATTTTTCATATAAATTGTTTTAGCTGATGTTGTAGTCATGGCTGCAGTCATGGCTACATCATAACCGCAAAAGTGACGAAACACATAAGTATAACGTTCTATGATCCTCGGGTTTTAAATAGTATATTTTCAATTTAGGATTTAGATTGTGCCCAAGGGGAACGGATTAGTCCATACACTAGTCATGTTCGCGATGTTTTATGGCTAGGTCACATCATGTATGAGCCGTGACCGATGTTCTTTATAATTCGTGAAAAAGATTCATATGTAAAGATTAGTATTTTTTTAAATAATTTCTTGGGTTGGTTGAACGGCCATTATTTGTACATTAAGCCATTTCCAGGTTATCCATTAATTACAGGACAGCCTGTATAAGGCTTCTTGTGATATTATCACGAACAAAAACATCAAACAATAAATCCTTGATACTAATAAAATTCTTTCGTCCAACAGTTAGGATGGTCTTGCTGCGGCGAAGAGTCTGGGATCTGTCGCGTGCTACTTCGACACTGCGCTGCTTTGACTGCTACAACGAGGGCCCATGCATCTGCTACGCTATACGCCCTTATGAGACAACACTATCAACTGGGCAATGTAAGTTAGTCCTACAAGTTTCGAGGGGTGACACTCCGTAAAGCCGAGTTTCGAAGCCTTACGAGGGAGAAATTGACGCTCGTTAGGGATAAACTCTCCTTCTCATCGTGTACATTGGGTACGATACCGTACACTTAAGATAACGTACACTGAACTTAGACTGCTATACCATCAAGTATTTTGTATATTGACAACGTGCCCTTCACCTAGACTGCTTTCCTATCGAATATTTTGTATATAGACAACGTATTAAACCTTTCTTTTGATAAATATAATAAATGCGAATGCTATTTCTATATTGTAGAATTTCAGCCGAGTAAAGATGCAGGTGACGATGTCGCTCTCATCTCTCGTGGGCACGTCTACAACCTTTAGCGAAGAAGCGTTACGACGAGCTTTGAAAACTGTACTAGTATATGCTGAACGAGATATCGAACTGCAAGACACATCATTTCCTGAACAGGTAACTAAGCTTCACGTCCGTGTATTTTGGCTAAATGAAATGACATACGTAATATATAATATTGCTCACCATTTACAGGTTAAAGACCTCGTGTTTAACCTGCACATGATCCTAAGCGACACTGTCAAAATGAAAGAGTTCCAACAAGACCCGGAGATGCTACTTGATCTGATGCACCGAATCGCTCGCGGCTACCAACACAGCCCCGATCTTCGTCTTACCTGGCTTAACAACATGGCGCAAAAGCATATGGAGGTAAGTTGTTGCAGTAAATATAATAAAACAATGTTTTCTTTGCGTATTTCGATTTATTGGTAAAACCCGGCCGCTGAGCACGAAGAATTTGACCCGCTATTACTTGTCTCCTTCGCTCATATATTACTGTACATATATTGCCGTCGCGGTCGCCCATGTCTGGTGAGCGCTCTTTTCATCATAATAATAAGGTTTTATATATAATAATAATGTTTTTATGCACGTGTTCTTGACATTGAAAATGTTTTTAGAAATTATCAATTACCTTGTAGTGGCGGTGCATGAATATCCATATCATCTCGTGGATGCCGTAAGAGACTTGGGGAAAAGGATTGTTTTTAAATATCTGTGAACATCGTTCCGGTTACGAAAAAGTTACAGTTAAAAATCATTGGGACTCTGTCACGTTAGATAACTAATTGTAATATTAGAACGACTTATAACGTGACTTTATATATGCATTTTAGATTTAGTTAAAAGTTAAAGTTATAGTCTATTATACGTCCCACTGCTGGGCACAGGCTTCCTCATTTCTGAGAGAGTTAAACCTTCTGGCGCGGCGGGCAAGGTAATGTCCACCGCGCTGCCCCAATGCGTGTTGGCGAACGTGTCTTCGAAATATTTTTTTCTTATTTTTCAGACATGCAGGTTTCCACACGATGTTTTCCTTCACCGCCGAGCTCGTGCCAAATCAGCACTTAAAATTGCAATTAACGATTTCATTGGTACCGCCGGGGATTGAACCCGGGTTGCTCGCGTACTGTGAAATTTACAGCAAGCGCTAACCATCTGAGCTACCACGGCTCAGTATAAAGTTTTATTTCAATAGTCGATTTTTTATTTCCTTCCATACTATTATTTTTGAAATATACGTATTTTACCTAACTTAGCCGATTAGTTAGTCGGCATGGCGGTTTTCCTACAAACGATCGAGTTTCAAATGGATTTGAATTGAAATCTGATTCTCAAATGGAGTTTTAAAAGATCGATTAAAATTCTTTGATTTACTTTTCGAGATTGTATTTACACTACCAACAAAATACAAAAAAAGATAACAAACGTACCTTTTTTTGTTAATTAATCAATTAAGAAGAGGCGAAAGAAACTAAGCACACCGTCATCACGCGAGTTATCAAATAATTAAGTGAAAAACTGTAATATTTTTATTTGTTTGAGTACACTCAGCTAATTGTAAATAATTTTATGGTTATTATCAAAACAGAAAAATTGAATCTCGATTTCTATATGAATCGATATTCACTGCTAAATATCGATTTACAAATTGATCTTTTTGGAACAAGAAATCGATTAATCGATTTCAGATCGTCATGCCTCATCAGTGTACCTTTCTAGTACACGGTGGTAAATATACCCCCTATGAGACAATATATGGGGAAGGCCTATGTTTAGCAGTGGACTTAAAATAGGCTGTAACGGTAAGTGTTTGTTGTAATAGTAATAAGATAAATGTATTAGTAGGAGGAAAACAAGACGGATTTTTTTTATTTTATCTTATTTTTAGGGCAGCGTTGCCGAGGTGAGCGATATTTTCTTAAATAAATAAAAATTAAATCATAGGTATCTATTATTATATTATATCTCTTTATTACGCTATCTTTGACCAACGCCATTTTTATTGAAAACAACTTTGCCCTTAATATTCACGATATATCGAAATTATAACATAAAACGTAATTTTCGCACATTGGGCTTTGTGGAATATGAAAATTTGGTTTTTTTACATGATTTATAGTGATAACTCACACTTTACATTTCATTTTCAGTTCCTTTTGACTCTTTAGTTCATATGTGAAAGAAATGTATTAAATTTTTACGACACAAAATATAACTAAAACTAAACTAAAAAATAAATAACTTTTAAAAACGGTGTAATCACTTACCATTTATATAAAAAACTAATCAACAAACTTTCTTTTGTACCTACTTATTTTTTTAAAATTGAAGGTGTCTCTTGGACTCACGCGGCGAAAGAAATAGACTTAAGTATATGAAGTAAACGGGACGGTAAAGGCGCAAACTCATCATTTGAAGTACAGTCTCTTAATTTAGGGAAGCGTAATTTAGTAATGAATCTAATACAATACAATAACTTTTTTAAACGAAACTAATTCTAATTAAATTTTTAGAAATTTAGTTGCATAATTCTTTTAAATAACATGTAAATAATAATTGTTCTGAGCACTCTTATCTACTCTTTGGCGGGGTCTACGTTATTTGCGTCAATAATAGATGCGATCGCACCCCAACTTGCTATTATTTTCAATGCTAGTTTCGAATCTGATGTGTTTCCTGATTTAATGAAACATATTAAAGTTATACCCTTATTTAAATCTGGCAGCACATTGGACCCCACTAAGTTTAGACCTATTTCTCTACTGCCAACGCTCAGCAAAATTTTTCAAAAAATGATCAAATGTTAAGTTTTCTTAATGTAAATAAATTACTACATAACAATCAGTTTGGATTGTGGATGTGGATGTGGATGGAGCTAATCAAACATATTTTCTGTGCATGGGAAAATTCAGAAAATGCTTTGGGTATATTTTGTGATCTTTTCAAGGCTTTCGACTGTGTTCACCATGAGACATTTATCAGGAAGCTACATCATTGTGGTGTAAAAAACATAGCGTTTAAAGTTATTATGTCATATCTAAATAATAGAACGCAAACAGTTGTTATTAATGGATGCAGTTTTTCCGGATCGGTAGTATCTATGGGTGTTCCTCAGGGCTCAGTTCTTGGTCCCTTTCTGTTCTCTTTCTGTTCTTAGTTTATATTAATGACTTACCTTACTTGATAGGGAATAACCACGATAAAGTATTATTTGCTGATGATACTTCGTTGATTTTCCTACTAAAAAGGCAATTATTGAAATATGACGAAGTGAATAATGCTATATCAAAAGTAGTACACTGGTTAGACATCAATAATTTGCTTTTGAACGGTAATAAAACGAAATGTATTGAATTCACTACACCTAATTTTAAAAAGGTACCAGTGTGCTTTTAAGTGGGGAGGAGCTGGGTCTTGTTGAATCCACTGTTGTTCTCGATATTATAGCTCCAATGGGGGGCCCCATTGGAGCTTCGCGTCCTATATCTAAACTAGCTAGCAAACTTAGTTCTGCAGCATATGCTATAAAAAAGATTAGATGCTTTACATGTGTTGAAACGGCTAGAATAGTTTATTTTAGTTATTTCCATAGCATAATGTCATATGGAATCCTGCTATGGGGTAATGCGACTGACATTGAAACTATCTTTGTTTTGCAAAAGAGAGCCATAAGAGCAATTTATAACCTAGGTCCGAAGGAATCCCTTAGAGAAAAATTTAAAGAAGTTAAAAAGAAAATTAAAAGAAATTAAAAGAAAAAATTTAAATTTAAAGAAATTAACTTTGGCCTCTTAATATATTTACGAGAACTTATTGTATGTACACAAAAACGAAAATAGTTTTATTAAAAATAGTGATGCACATTCTGTAAATACTAGGAACAAGCACAAGTTAGTTATACCAGTTACTCGATTCCAAAGGGTCAGTAATTCCTTCATGGGGCAATGTATACGCTTATACAACAAAGTCCCAGAAAATATGCAGACATTTTCAACAAAAGGTTTAAATTATTTATTAAGCAAAAATTGTTTAGTAAGGGTTATTATACTACTAAAGAGTACATGACCGATAATAACCCCTGGGAATTAGGTGATCACTACCATGCTGTTTCTAAATGTTTTCATAATAATTGTAGAAAATATTATATTGTAAATTGAGCTTTTTAAAAAAAAATCCCGCTTGGTTTCTTGCTGGTTATCCCCAGGACAGAGGTTTTTTTTTGCGAACCAGTGGTAAAAGTAATACATGATTTTCAATAAGTATTATGTACTATAATCTATATTGAATAAAAACTGATTCTATTCTATTCTACAACATTATCACGAGGGAGACCGATGTGGACCGGTAGGACTTGACAGATTAAAAAAGTTTGCAATATCAGTCATATTATTTATTGCTTATATACCTAACTTATCTATCTATATTATAAAACCATGGATAATTTGTGGTGTAAAAGAATGTGAATTATGATAGAAGAATTTAGTTTCACTTGGGATAATATTTTTTTTTTATTTCTTTTCTGATTGGCCATAAGGTCTGCTTTGACCCATTTCAAGGTTATCCATTAATTATCGGACAGCCTGTATAATAGTTTTTTAGGTGAAGTTTGTTGTGCGTGTACTTCATTTTTTTTTTGTTACTCTGTTAGTATATTCAAGCATAATAAATAAATTAAAATTTTATTCTCTTTCTCTCTCAACATTTTGGAGATCCGCACTTTATCTTAAACTGTTTTTGACCACTGACAGTAAGCACAAAGGTCATTTGTACGCAATTCTTCGTGCTTGGAGAGCGAACTTTTGATTTCGGCATTATTATTATTAAAAATCGGCCAGTAGAATGCCATCAGTAGTTTGGTTTTGCTTCCAGCGGTCGAATCACCTGGAGGCGGGCATGTGTCTGGTACACGGCGCAGCGCTCGCTGCAGAGCAGCTGTGCACGGGCGGGCGCGGCGCAGCGCTGCTGCAGCGCGTCACGCACAACGCGCTGGACGAGAGCTGCGCCGACGCGCTCCACCACCACCTCACACAGCAGGAGTTGCAGGTGAGTGTGAACTGCAGCCCGTGCACTGCACAGCACAGCACAGCTGCAGCCCATGCAGCTGCAACCACGCACAACGCGCTGGACGAGAGCTGCGCCGACGCGCTCCACCACCACCTCACACAGCAGGAGTTGCAGGTGAGTGTGAACTGCAGCCCGTGCACTGCACAGCACAGCACAGCTGCAGCCCATGCAGCTGCAACCACGCACAACGCGCTGGACGAGAGCTGCGCCGACGCGCTCCACCACCACCTCACACAGCAGGAGTTGCAGGTGAGTGTGAACTGCAGCCCGTGCACTGCACAGCACAGCACAGCTGCAGCCCATGCAGCTGCAACCACGCACAACGCGCTGGACGAGAGCTGCGCCGACGCGCTCCACCACCACCTCACACAGCAGGAGTTGCAGGTGAGTGTGAACTGCAGGCCGTGCACTGCACAGCACAGCACAGCTGCAGCCCATGCAGCTGCAACCACGCACAACGCGCTGGACGAGAGCTGCGCCGACGCGCTCCACCACCACCTCACACAGCAGGAGTTGCAGGTGAGTGTGAACTGCAGCCCGTGCACTGCACAGCACAGCACAGCTGCAGCCCATGCAGCTGCAACCACGCACAACGCGCTGGACGAGAGCTGCGCCGACGCGCTCCACCACCACCTCACACAGCAGGAGTTGCAGGTGAGTGTGAACTGCAGCCCGTGCACTGCACAGCACAGCACAGCTGCAGCCCATGCAGCTGCAACCACGCACAACGCGCTGGACGAGAGCTGCGCCGACGCGCTCCACCACCACCTCACACAGCAGGAGTTGCAGGTGAGTGTGAACTGCAGCCCGTGCACTGCACAGCACAGCACAGCTGCAGCCCATGCAGCTGCAGCCACGCACAACGCGCTGGACGAGAGCTGCGCCGACGCGCTCCACCACCACCTCACACAGCAGGAGTTGCAGGTGAGTGTGAACTGCAGCCCGTGCACAGCACAGCTGCAGCCCATGCAGCTGCAGCCACGCACAACGCGCTGGACGAGAGCCTCGCCGACGCGCTCCACCACCACCTCACACAGCAGGAGTTGCAGGTGAGTGTGAACTGCAGCCCGTGCACAGCACAGCTGCAGCTCATGCAGCTGCAGCCACGCACAACGCGCTGGACAAGAGCTGCGCTGCACATTTGAACTACAGTTCACCGCTGCTGTGTTATAATAAGTTTCTTAGACACGTGCATTCCTGCGTACATGAGTGCCAGCGTGTTTGTCTGTGCGTGACTGGTCAAACGGTTGAATAGTTTTATAATCCGATAAAATTAGAAACTATACTCATGCATAAATTTACAGAACACAAAAATAAGTGTGTATAAAATAAAATATCATGTATATGATTTTGCTATTTATTTCATACAGTTTAAAATTGCTAAATCGAAAAAATTAATGATAAATGACAAAAATTAACCAAATTAAAACAAGAAATTTACTGGAAAGAAATATTTTTTGTACTTAATTTTTTTTCATAAATATAACGTGGGCTATATAATCAGTACTTTACGTTACCGCTCCTAGGTCTTCGAACTGCTTCCACTTTCCTTGGCATACTCCTAATCTTGTTATCATTATAAACAAATAAAATCTTGAAAGATTGCATTCCATTCTTTCTGCAATGACATTTTAAGATCTCTCATATTAGCGGGGACATGATTTCTTTTCTTAATTTGTCTTCCAAGCTTATCACATACATGCTTTATGGGGTTTAAGTCGGGCGACCGCGCTAGGCACCCCACTAATTATAGTATATAGTAAACCTATTAAGGTTTATTAGATGCATATAGGTCTGTACAAATTGGATATAGATCCGTACAAATGAAAAAAAAGATGATAAGGATAATTGAAAAAGTCAACTATATTTTTGATACAGGCACTCCTAGAACACGCCGCGAGCGAACTGATGACCGCCGGCATGTACGAGACTGTCAACGAGGTGTATAAAGTGCTCATTCCGATCGCGGAGGAACATCGCGACTACAAAAAACTAGCCAACATTCATGGGTAAGCATCATACGAAACACAGAAGCATCAAGATGGTATTTTACGCTGGTATTCTGTGAGAGCGTGGTTCTTCCCCTGTTGACCTGACCCATTCGAGATAAAGCCGTAATATATCTACAGCAAGATATCACTATATCACCCATAAAATAAATACATGACATACTCCTCACATTATCTGCTTTTAGACTTTCAGCTAGCAGCAAATAATAAGTTGTATCTACTTTTAAGCAAACTAAATGAAGCGTTCACACGAATCGAGCAGCTGCACGGCAAACGAGTGTTCGGAACATACTTCCGAGTCTCGTTCTACGGCGCACGGTTCGGTGATCTTAACGGCGAGGAGTTCATATACAAGGAACATGCGCTCACCAAACTGCCGGAGATATTCAGCAGACTAGAGGTAAAACAATCTCCGTCTCATTACAAAAACTATTTTATAATTAGTCTCATATTTAAACTAAAGTCGGTTTCAATAATGAAGACCCGTGAAAAATATACCAACGAACATATAAAGTGTGGAACTGACGCCAAATGCCAAATTTCGCGAAGACTGTGGCGCCGCAAGTACGGCATTTATTTTGTGAGAAAGAGTTTAGCAGAATCATGGAGGAGCTCCGGTTGCGTTCTGAATGGCGACCCCGGGACCCCACATATTGCATCACGTTGCACGAGAATGCCCCCGATGATAAGGGTCAATGGCTTTTGTATAGTAATAAAATGTGTAGGCGTAAACACAAAAAACGCTCAAATTGTTGATACAAGTAAGACGCAACCTTATGAATACGTATGTTAAGCCTTTTCTCCTTTGGAAAATTTGTTATCGTTATGTAATCGCGAGTGTTATTGTACGTACTTTCGAAAAAAAGCTGTTTATTTCAGATTATGATTTTTTGTGCTAACAGAGACCTGACTAAATAGTGTTGCGCGCCACCATTAATGACTGGTACATGGCGACACTAGTTACCACTAGCGCCTTCTAGTATCGAGTAGCAGAACTAAGAGAGTCAAGATCCTTCTACAAATTTCCAGGGAAGGTGATCGACCTCGAGAGGATAGTGCGGCTAATAGCACTGCCCAGCAGCAGCACGGAAACGAGTAAAAGCCAGGCCTGCGGGGCGGATGCTTACTGATGTTAAACAGGGAACAGCCTAATCATCAAGGGCGAGGTCAACGGAATGCCGTGTAAACTGGCCATAGACACTGGAGCCTCTCGCACGGTTGTCAGTTCTCAACTTAAGTCTTAAGTCAGTTCTTTAGGAACTCTTTGGTAACGCATACAACCGAGAACTTTATTATTTTATTTGATGACAGCCACTGGTCAGCGCATACCCGTCCGTGGAGAGAAGGAGATGGAGTTGAAGCTAGGCAACATGATCTACCTGCATAATGTCATCGTGGCTGATATTATGGACGATCGCATCTTGGGCCTAGACTTTATGGGAAAGAATTGTTGTGAGATCGATGTTAAGCAAGGTGTTTTGAAATGTGGACAAGTGGAACTTTTCGTGGAAGGGGCGTTACCAGAGAATGTGTACAGTCTTAAGAAGATTGTTCTTCCGCCGAGATCGGAAACGATTGTGCCGGTTAGTCTTCCTCGGAATCCTGGGCAAGCTTATCGTTGTGTACTCATGGAAAGGGTAGACAATGACCTTCCATGGAAAGTGGCTCGAACCATGGTCAGAACCACCGACATCTCAGGAGTACGCGTGCTGAACCTTTGTGATTAGGAACAGATTATAGAAAAAGTCACAATGGTTGGTACTTGTGAGGAAGTGCATTCGTTGCGTCGGTACCAATATCTATCGAATGGGACCCCCAGCAAAGATACACAAACGAGAGTGACCACACTTTTAGAAGACTGTTGCATCGTTCTCTCCCCGAATGAAATGGTCAAGGCGAAGAAGTTGTTACTGAAGTATGCCGATGTTTTCTCGTCACACGATGCTGACTAGAAGACTGGCTTAGTTCAACACAAAATAAACACAAGAGAAGAATTGCCTATCCGTCAGCGGCCAAGAAGATTATCGGTAGCACGTGAAAATGAAGTGGAAACCATGATTGAGGAAATGGTGAAGAATGGTGTTATTGAACCTTCATCTATCGATCGTCCATGGTGTTCACCTGTGGTGCTGGTAGAAGAAGAACGATGGCAGCATGCGGTTTTGTGTTGACTACCGCCGTCTGAACGACGTTACGAAGAAGGACAGCTATCCCTTGCCAAGATTGAAATAACCGGCCAAGTTTGCAGAGAAGGTTCAAAATATGTTATATAGGCAAATGTTTAAGAAAAATTAATTTAAAAAAAAAAACTCAAACATTCTGTCCTTTTTATCTTCTAAATTTAAAATGGGTGGTAATGCATTATTTTAATCGATTTTACTGCACACGCACACATACGTAAGGCTCGATCGGTAGGCAAAAACGTTGTTGCCCATAAATAACATTCAATTTGGGATAGTTTCAAAAACTGCAATAACGGTATATCATTATTTATATATTTGAACTTAAGTTTAAAATTTGGATACTCTTTGAAAAATAAGCCTGTATATTTAACTTAATAACTTTGCTGTATCTTCCGAATATTAACAGAATTTCTACGGGTCACGTTTCGGGACTGAAAACGTGGTAATCATAAAGGATTCCAACATCGTGGACCCGAGCTCTCTGGACCCCGACAAAGCGTATATCCAGATCACGTACGTGGAACCGTACTTCGAGCCGCACGAGCTGCGCAAGCGGCTCACACATTACGAGAGGAACTACAACATAAGTGAGTGAAGCAATATTTTTTGGAGTTTCCAAGGTTTAAATCTTTTTTCTTTTTGTTATTACTCCGTTTATATGTTTCCCACCAAATTTAATTTTAGTCTATAAAAATTGTCCAATCAAACCAGATGTTAACTTCATTGTTATTAACTTTACAGAATCAAGACCTTCCCCTCAGCTAGTCTGTAAATTTGAGGAAGGTTTTGATTCAATTACAGTACAGTAACGAGGCTCTCTTTTTAGTTTTTCAGAGTATCCTTTTTATTCTCCTTTCTATCTTTTATGGTCTGTAAAAAACAACAAAATTCGATAGGGTTTCAATTAAATTGTCTTTGTAATAAAGCTCCAGGGTTTCTCAATTGAAATATGTCTTAGTTTTATGAGTAGATCTAGAGTTGCATCTGAGTACCGCTATGATACCTTATATTAAGTGGGGGTAAATTAATATTACAACAATGAACTCGCGCGTAATTTTTCGTAATATCCTATTTCCTATTAATATTATAAACGTGAAAATTTGTGAGAATGTATGGATGTTTGTTACTCTTTCATGCAAAAACTATATGGCTCATACATCAGAATAACCCAGGCGATAATTCATAAAGATAGTGTATAAATTGGCCAAAATATAACGATAAATGTGAAGTAAGTCGGAAAAAAAAATCTGTCATCTGCGAGCTATTTTGGCGTGTGGTGCAAAAACTGTAAGAGTTACACGAATATAATGTAGAGTTGAATTGTTTCTCCTAAATAGTTCCGCGACAGTATATGTATATCTATATTTTTTGTGCGGTCCGACGCGCGCAGGGTGGTCGGGTGCTCTGCAGGTCGGGTGGGGGAAAATCGCTCATCGCTAAATATGATGCTTACGTATGGCAGACACGTGAACCTAAATTATCTGTCTATCTATACAAATAAATAAAATTGAAGTGTCTGTTTGTAATGTCAAAATTACAGCTTTTTACTAATTGTATATGAAAGTATATACGGTACTTATAACAAAAACACAATCTTTAAAATTTTTGTCTGTCTGTCTGTTTGTCTGTTTGTTCCGGCTAATCTCCGAAACGGCTGGACCGATTTTGACGAAACTTTCACTGGCAGGTAGCTGATTTCATAAGGAGTAACTTAGGCTACTTTTGTTTTAGAAAAACGATTAGGGTTCCGCTCAAAATCATAAAAACCCTAACACGCGAGCGAAGTCGCGGGGAACAGCTAGTACTATAATAAAACTAACTCGACGTCTGTCTGAACACGCATCACGCATAAACCCGTGAAACCGATTTGGATGGGACTCACATTGGAAGATAGCTGATTTTATATGGAGTAACTCAGGCTATTTTTATTTTAGGGTTCCGCGCAAAATAATTTCAAAATATATAATTAAATAAATACAACATGTATTTGTAATCTTTCGACATTGCTGAGACTATTGACGTTTTTTTTTATAATTTATTCAAATTGCGAAAGTCAGAAACAGCAGTTCATGTATTTACATTATAATATAATAAATTATATATAGCTCATATAATTTTAGACAAAACGCGCAACATGCATTGTGGTACAAATTTCTTTTTTATATAAAAGAAGGAAAACGAGCATGCGGTTCATCTCATGGTAAGTGATTACAGCTGCCCATGAACAACTGTATCACCAGGGGAATCTCAGATGTGTTGCCAGTCTTTTAAAAGGGAGTAGGCTTTTTTCTAGAAGATCTTTAAGTCTTATAAAAATCGCTGGTAGTAGTCGATTCTACAAGATGTTGTGCGAGGAAGATAACTTCTAGTAAATCGCAGTGTAGTGGACCGCCAATCATTCAGTTAGTATGGATGGTATCGGGATTTTTTTCGCGATGTGCGATGGAAGTTAAACAAAATTAGTATTTTTCACTGTTATACAGTGCGAGCGGGAGAGGGGTGTGAGTGAGTGAGATTGTGTTGGGGTTGGTTGCAGAGCGTTTCATGTACGCGACGCCGTTCACGGTGGGCGGGCGCGCGCACGGCTCGCTGGCCGAGCAGTGCAAGCGCAAGACCATCCTCACCACCGCGCACCACTTCCCCTACGTCAAGACGCGCATACAGGTACCGCGCCACGCACATTACACGTGCATCTCGTGCCATACCCACGCACGCACACGCACATTACAGATACACACACTACACACACACACTCGCCCGCACTAACATGCATATTAGTACAAATACATTTCTTGCTTACACGTATACGCGTACGCAAACGCATATTACTACTCGACCAAAACAATCAGGCGCATGACAGCTGAGACGTGATTAGCTAGGGAGTAATCATGCTACTAATTGTTTTGGTGGAGTATTACTCATACACATGTCTCTATTTCAATCTTTTCTCTAAACTAGATCAGAGTATTGTCTTCTACATTTTAAATACCGTTACTCTTTACACTAATTACGATTACGCATTTTTCCATTACCGTTAAGGGAAAAACCACTTATAATTATTAATTAATACTTTCAATACTTTTTATACGATCTCTTTTTGCAATCAACAACTAAAATATTTAGTGTACGAAAACACAACTGATCAGTACACTAAGGTATTTGTCATAGCAAATTGATCAAATCAATTTTATTTATAATATTGTACTTCGTATGCACACAGGATAGCACACATTAATGAGGAAGCTACAGTACTATGGTGTCAAGAACACAGCGCTTAAACTTATTATTTCATATTTAAGTAACAGAACGCAGAAAGTTATTATCTATGGTAAAATTTCTTCCGGGTCACTGGGTTGGGTGTCCCTCAGGACTCTATTCTCGGACCATTCCTATTTCTAGTGTATATTAATGACTTTCCTTCCCTTGTAGGGGATAATCATGATATAGTATTATGTGCTGATGATACTTCCTTGATTTTTAAACTTAAATTTCAATCATTTAAATGTGACGAAGTGAATAATGCTATATGAAAATTAGTGCATTGGTTTAATGTTAATAATCTACATTCAAACGAAAATAAAACTAAATGTATTAAATTTACAACATTAAACGTTCTTAAAATCTAAATACCAATGTGTTTTTAAATGGGAAAGAACTGAGCCCTGTTGAATCCACTGTTTTTCTTGGCATCACTCGACGCAAAGCTTCAGTAGGGCCCCCATATATCCAGACCAGCAAGCAGAGTAAGTTCTGCAGCCTATGCTGTATAAAAGACTCACTAGTGTCGAGACAGTTACATTAGTTTATTTCAGTTATTTCCATAGCATAATGTCGTATGGGATTTAGCTATGAGGAAATGCAGCTGATTATCTATTTTTGTTTTACAGAAGAGGGCCATTAGAGCTATTTACAACCTAAAACTGAGAGTCTCTTAGAGATAAATTAAAAAAACATTATATTAACTTTGGCCTTTCAGTGTATTTACGAAAATTTAATGTATGCTATCTACTTTGAAATGTCTTAATTGCTCTTTGACCATTGACACTTACTTTGTTTCCTAATATTGTTTACAATGTAGTGGTAGTAAAAGTCATCAAGAGGGTTTTAATTTCGTCTTTTTATTCAATTATATAAAATTTCAAAAATACAAACTCACTATTTTGTTTCAGGTCGTACAGCGAACACAGATAATCCTCTCCCCCATTGAAGTGGCCATTGAAGATATACAGAAAAAGGTAAGTTGCGAGCATTTAGGTAACATGTGTTACACAGGTTGATCTAGTCAGCTAACTCCTTTCCGGTTTTATCATGAAACACGCGCCTTGCTCAGAGGATAAATACTCGGCTTAGAAAGAAAACCTTTCTTTTGAAAATGCTACGTTAATATACCACATAATTTCTAGATTGTCCGTAGTTTGATATATTTAAATAGTCAAATGAAACGATATAACATGTTTCATCAAGTTACGTTATATTATATTTTATTAGTCCAAGTATGTTAGGAGAATAGCCATTGTTCTGTGGTTAATAAACTTCCGTCTAAAGCGTCCCTAGCCGACTCTGCAACTCACTTCTGCAGAGTGTTGCCAACTGTTAGCTTTACCCAGTTGCTAAACATTTTTCAAAATGTTGCTAGATTGCTAGCTTTTTTTTACCCCAAAAAGTAGCTAGAAGTAGCTAAATGTTACAGTACGTAGGTAGATTACAATAAAATGTCAATTTCTGACAATAATTTTTAATTTCCAACAAGAGAGTTAAAATGTCTTGTGTACAGTCACGAGCAATTATATGTATACAACATAGGACTATATTATATTATATTTATTGTCGACTTTTGTGGCACAAATAGTTTTGTTTCGGAACGCTTAACGTGACAAAGTTCTATGTTGTTTACATATTATTGCTCGTGACTGGACATTATTGAATAAAAAATTAAGTTTAAAATTAATCAATCAAAGAAGATGTCGATATTTGAGGTTCAGTATCTTTCGTCTAATTCCGAATATTTTTTACCACTTTTCACGAGGGAGTCACTAATGCAGAGAATTGAGTTCAGAGTTATGAAACTCAACCAACCTTTAAATTCGTCCATATTTTCCCACTTCGGTTTATATTTTTTCGCTTTTTTTCGAAGATAAATCCATTTCAAATAAAATTAGTTTATATGGATAAAACAAAACAACGCAAGTACGAGTAGCGTGTACTATTTTGGTTAGTAGTAGGTTAGTGAGTAGTCTGTCGTAACGCAGCAGGAAACGGGGAATTCCCGGCCAACACCGACCTAAACCTGCCATAGCATCTATGACCATAGATTCGCGTTTAGTTTTTATATTTTCTTTCGAGACTCGGTATCGGTACCCTACTCTACGAATCTCGATAGCCTCACGTCTCATGATGAAATGAAAAGTTGCTAGAAAAAGTGGCTAAAAAGTTTAGCTACAAATTTCATTAAATTGTAGCTGTCCGTTACCAAAAAATAGCTATATCTAGCCATAAAGTTGCTAAGTTGGCACCACTGCTGTTCTGTAGCATGAATTTGCTTCACTTTCATCTTCACTCATCGGTCGGTTACTCTTTCGTCATTCATTCTTTTTATATGACCAAATAATCTAGAAAAATCATATAAATATTATTGACTAAAGACGAAGTCTTAGTGGATTTCATTAGACACCCATTGGAGTAGCGCGGCGAACTCTTGCCTATTTCGAAACACCTCCAAAAGTGAGAGGCCTGTGCCCTGCTCTGGGTTTGTTATTACGTTTTTTTTTTACCGTTACAGCCTATTAAAGTGCACTGCTGAATGTAGGCCTCCCCTATAGATTGCTTCATAGGGGTAAATTTGCCATAGTTACCAAACTTGGTTAGCGGGTTGGCAACCGTAGTTTTAGGTTTCCGTACCCGAAGGGTAACCAACGGGACCCTATTACTAAGCCTTCGCTGTCCGTATGTCTGTAAGCGGGATGTATTTCATGATCCGTAATAGATAGACAGTTGAAATATTAACAGAATGTGTATTTCTGTTGCCACTATAACAACAAATAATAAAAATTAAAATAAATTAAAAATTAAAGTGGTTTCTCTATTAAAAACGTTTAACGATGATACGGAACCCTTCATGCGCGAGTCCCACTCTCAATTGGCTCGTTTTTTTATGTTTAGTCATTGTTAGAAAGACGCTGCTGCCCATCTCCTGTTTGTTTCCCTCTATCAACTCTTACGACACCCACGGGATAATATGGGGTAGTGGATACACCGCCACTACACGGTAACGCTTTGTTTAACGCCAGCAATTTTATTATTAATTTGACTTTAACGCAATTCTTCTATAAAATGCGAAGAAAGTTTGCTGTGATGTAGCGGCGTAAAAATGTTAACTACCCCATATCATCCCGTGGGTCTCATAAGCGTCGACAGAGGAAAACTAAAACAGGAGATGGTAGCAGTATCTTCCTAATAACAACTGATAATGATTAAAAAAAACTGTGGGTGCCAACCCGCCTGCCAAGCAACTATGGCAAAATCCCCCCATAAGGCAATCTATTGTAGAGGCGTAAGTTCAGCAGTAGTGAACTTTGATGGTCTGTAATCATTAATTGAATGAATGAAGAAAAAAATCCGTAAGATTAGTTTCATTTAATGTGTAGTGTTCGCGTGAATATGGGAAATCATTGTGAATGTGAAAGAGTCTTTTAGCTTAGCTAGTTCATGCGACATCTATATCATGAGACAGAGTGACAGTTTCTCTTAAGCTGTTGCCTGTATTTTGTTACACAGATCGCAGAGCTAGCAGCGGCCACATCTCAGGAGCCTGCCGATCCCAAGATGTTACAAATGGTGGTGCAGGGCTGTATAGGCACCACTGTGAACCAGGGCCCACTCGAACTTGCACAGGTCAGTTACGCGGTTTTGCTATTTTCTTTTTCTTTCTTTTTTTGCGATTTTCTGCGTTATTATGGTCATTGCGGAGCATCACAAATCCATTGCTGGAAGACATAGATTGCAACAAATCACGGTGTTCTAGCATATGCACCCATAAACTGAGTAGCCGACATAGCCCAAAGGATTAGCAAGCTGGGTGTACTTAAAGCTCGAAGACAACCGATGGGTAAAAGGTTCGAGTGGCAATTTCGTACCGTCGTTAGCGAAGTGTAGGGCTGCCCGCACCAGATGAAGTAACGATCGACATATCCAGTTAACTCAGTACCGTATTTTTGGTCTTGGGGAAGCCCTATCTTCAGCAACAGACTTGTGATGGGCTGTAATGTTGATGATGAATTTTCGAAAAAATTTCGGCCTTAACCCATAATCACCACATACTTGTTGTGATGCAACAATTCATCAAATCAAATTAAACCTAACCCAAAGAAGATATAAATTAATATCCCTTTTTCCTTTAAAATTGTTCTAAAGGTGTTCCTGGCGCCAGTGGCAGAAGGTAGACAACCGCCCACGCGGCTCACAAATAAACTGCGGCTCGCTTTTAAGGATTTTTCCAAAAAGTAAGTGTAATCAACTTTGTCATTTCAATTAAATTGATATCATTTGTAATTAAAATAAGTTTTCTTAAATATGTTAAACATTAGTTAGCTAAGAATCGCGTAAAAATAAAATAAGAGTGATGTGTATTACCCAGTTTTGAAGAGCACCTCCCGTCCTCCTTCAGTTTCGTGTACTAAGCAGGACTAGTACTAAGGAGTTCCCCGTCCACCATTAATCAATACTAAGAAAGATACACCACCGTCGATAATATGATACGTGTTTCGCTTCTAAACGAGGCATATTCAGAAGGAATAGACTCTGATTTTCTTTTCTAGTTACACATATAGACCAGTGCCTTTGGCGTTTCATGAAGATGTTTTTTAAGAATATTAAAACGTATTAAACCCCCCTTTCCACCCATGAAGCTAATACAAAGGGGAGACGGCATAAGCAACTGTGCACTGTGATTCTAAGTAGGTCCTGACGTCATCATAGTGGGCGTGGCTTTAGTTAGTATACTGTCAGCATTCGTCCTGTGCGCTTATGTGTTGAAAAAATCGCAAATCGGTGAATTTTCGTAGTATTAAGAAGAAAAGGATGAAGTGTTGTGTTTTATTGTGTAAAAACTACTCAGATAAACGCTCTGATGTTATGGATGGCATCACATTTCATTTGTAAATATTTTTACACCTAATTTATTAAAATAGTTCTAGAAAAATCTCTGCGTCGGCTTTCAAATATAATTAAATATATTCGACACTAGATGGCGACACTTTGTGTCATGTGAACTAAAAATGTAAAGGACTACTACTAAAAATGAAAACTGAGCTCTAGCTCAGTATTCGTAAAATAATCATACGAAGGTGCTGAAATTTGTTTTGCATTCAGACATAAAGAAATTTTAATCGCAAAATATCATTTTTATAGTTTATAATCATTTTGAGAACAGGCCGTATTCTCGTCAAGTAAACCTCATAAAAATGACAAAAACACCCTAATTAGAATTCAATTATTTTTCCCAGTAATCCAACTTTTAATATTAAATGCAGGAAATTGTACTTAGGCTGATTTTTACGAAATGTTTAAGTTATATTTAAGTGCCATTCTATATGCAAAGAATCGCTTAAATACATTCTGTTTGAGTAATGACTCGGCGACAGACAATCCGCGACCTCTTGATTTGATTTAGTCAATTTATTGTTAACTTTTAATTGATAATTTGAGTTACGAGGTTTGTCTTTACCGGTTTCGCTGTTAATTAAAATACTCTACGTCATTTTAATTTTATTCTTACCCGTCTTAATTTTGTTGCTAATATGTAACGATTTGGCTGTGGAGCAAACTTAAACATTTTAGAATAATTTTTGACATATTCTTTAAAAGCATCGGAAAGATTATATGATCTTTCATGATAAAGGTCATATAACTTTCGTATATAATATGTTTGACCAGCGTTGATTCTTTACCTTGATGTTCGATTTCAGTGATTTTGTTTTGTTAGAAAGGGGATATCTTAAGGTTGTTCCCATATATTTCCGGATAAGATCTGATGGTGGGATCTATGAGAAAATTATCAAACGATATCACGATAATATAGGTGAATAATTGTTTACCGCGTCAACTGGTTTCGGTAATTATATGCTTTTAATTTTTTTGATATCAGTATTTATTTTTTTAAGTTTATTTGTTTTGTACAATCATAGTGGCTCGCATCATCGACTACCGAGCTCTTTCTGATTGACTTGACTCACTGGCGATGCGAAGAAATATTACATCCCTTTGTATATTTTGCTACCACGTAGAGTGCTCACAGGAATTTTTCGGACTAACACCTTTGCACATCGCGATGCTATCTCCATTACTGTGCGATTTATTACTTTTCTTTTTCGCACAACTTTCTTGTGGAATCGACTATTATCAGCGATTTTTATGGACTTAGGGATCTTCAAGAAAAGCCTACTTTTTTTTTAATGGCCGGCAACGCACCTGCTACTCAGATATGTTAGGATCGTGCAATGATCATGGGCGGCGGTAGTCACTTACCAAGAGGTGAGCTGCATGCTCGTTTAACCCCTCCCAAAAAATAACGATTATGGAATATGATATTGGTTAATCCCGTCGCACGCTGGCACGCTGGCACGATGGCACTGGCACAATATGAAGTAGCGTGGCACTTGCGCAGGTGCCACGACGCGCTGCGCAAGAACAAGAACCTGATCGGCAGCGACCAGCGCGAGTACCAGCGCGAGCTCGAGCGCAACTTCGCGCGCTTCACCGAGCGCCTGGCGCCGCTCGCGCACCGCCCGCCCTCGCACGTCGCCATGCTCAGGTGCGCTCCTCGCACACACGCACGCACACGCACGCACACACACTTCACCGAGCGCCTGGCGCCGCTCGCGCACCGCCCGCCCTCGCACGTCGCCATGCTCAGGTGCGCTCCTCGCACACACGCACGCACACGCACGCACACACACTTCACCGAGCGCCTGGCGCCGCTCGCGCACCGCCCGCCCTCGCACGTCGCCATGCTCAGGTGCGCTCCTCGCACACACGCACGCACGCACACACACTTCACCGAGCGCCTGGCGCCGCTCGCGCACCGCCCGCCCTCGCACGTCGCCATGCTCAGGTGCGCTCCTCGCACACACGCACGCACGCACACACACTTCACCGAGCGCCTGGCGCCGCTCGCGCACCGCCCGCCCTCGCACGTCGCCATGCTCAGGTGCGCTCCTCGCACACACGCACGCACGCACACACACTTCACCGAGCGCCTGGCGCCGCTCGCGCACCGCCCGCCCTCGCACGTCGCCATGCTCAGGTGCGCTCCTCGCACACACGCACGCACGCACACACACTTCACCGAGCGCCTGGCGCCGCTCGCGCACCGCCCGCCCTCGCACGTCGCCATGCTCAGGTGCGCTCCTCGCACACACGCACGCACACGCACGCACACACACTTCACCGAGCGCCTGGCGCCGCTCGCGCACCGCCCGCCCTCGCACGTCGCCATGCTCAGGTGCGCTCCTCGCACACACGCACGCACACGCACGCACACACACTTCACCGAGCGCCTGGCGCCGCTCGCGCACCGCCCGCCCTCGCACGTCGCCATGCTCAGGTGCGCTCCTCGCACACACGCACGCACACGCACGCACACACACTTCACCGAGCGCCTGGCGCCGCTCGCGCACCGCCCGCCCTCGCACGTCGCCATGCTCAGGTGCGCTCCTCGCACACACGCACGCACACGCACGCACACACACTTCACCGAGCGCCTGGCGCCGCTCGCGCACCGCCCGCCCTCGCACGTCGCCATGCTCAGGTGCGCTCCTCGCACACACGCACGCACACGCACGCACACACACTTCACCGAGCGCCTGGCGCCGCTCGCGCACCGCCCGCCCTCGCACGTCGCCATGCTCAGGTGCGCTCCTCGCACACACGCACGCACACGCACGCACACACACTTCACCGAGCGCCTGGCGCCGCTCGCGCACCGCCCGCCCTCGCACGTCGCCATGCTCAGGTGCGCTCCTCGCACACACGCACGCACACGCACGCACACACACTTCACCGAGCGCCTGGCGCCGCTCGCGCACCGCCCGCCCTCGCACGTCGCCATGCTCAGGTGCGCTCCTCGCACACACGCACGCACGCACACACACTTCACCGAGCGCCTGGCGCCGCTCGCGCACCGCCCGCCCTCGCACGTCGCCATGCTCAGGTGCGCTCCTCGCACACACGCACGCACACGCACGCACACACACTTCACCGAGCGCCTGGCGCCGCTCGCGCACCGCCCGCCCTCGCACGTCGCCATGCTCAGGTGCGCTCCTCGCACACACGCACGCACGCACACACACTTCACCGAGCGCCTGGCGCCGCTCGCGCACCGCCCGCCCTCGCACGTCGCCATGCTCAGGTGCGCTCCTCGCACACACGCACGCACACGCACGCACGCACACACACTTCACCGAGCGCCTGGCGCCGCTCGCGCACCGCCCGCCCTCGCACGTCGCCATGCTCAGGTGCGCTCCTCGCACACACGCACGCACACGCACGCACACACACTTCACCGAGCGCCTGGCGCCGCTCGCGCACCGCCCGCCCTCGCACGTCGCCATGCTCAGGTGCGCTCCTCGCACACACGCACGCACACGCACGCACGCACACACACTTCACCGAGCGCCTGGCGCCGCTCGCGCACCGCCCGCCCTCGCACGTCGCCATGCTCAGGTGCGCTCCTCGCACACACGCACGCACACGCACGCACACACACTTCACCGAGCGCCTGGCGCCGCTCGCGCACCGCCCGCCCTCGCACGTCGCCATGCTCAGGTGCGCTCCTCGCACACACGCACGCACACGCACGCACGCACACACACTTCACCGAGCGCCTGGCGCCGCTCGCGCACCGCCCGCCCTCGCACGTCGCCATGCTCAGGTGCGCTCCTCGCACACACGCACGCACACGCACGCACACACACTTCACCGAGCGCCTGGCGCCGCTCGCGCACCGCCCGCCCTCGCACGTCGCCATGCTCAGGTGCGCTCCTCGCACACACGCACGCACACGCACGCACACACACTTCACCGAGCGCCTGGCGCCGCTCGCGCACCGCCCGCCCTCGCACGTCGCCATGCTCAGGTGCGCTCCTCGCACACACGCACGCACGCACACACACTTCACCGAGCGCCTGGCGCCGCTCGCGCACCGCCCGCCCTCGCACGTCGCCATGCTCAGGTGCGCTCCTCGCACACACGCACGCACGCACACACACTTCACCGAGCGCCTGGCGCCGCTCGCGCACCGCCCGCCCTCGCACGTCGCCATGCTCAGGTGCGCTCCTCGCACACACGCACGCACACGCACGCACACACACTTCACCGAGCGCCTGGCGCCGCTCGCGCACCGCCCGCCCTCGCACGTCGCCATGCTCAGGTGCGCTCCTCGCACACACGCACGCACACGCACGCACACACACTTCACCGAGCGCCTGGCGCCGCTCGCGCACCGCCCGCCCTCGCACGTCGCCATGCTCAGGTGCGCTCCTCGCACACACGCACGCACACGCACGCACACACACTTCACCGAGCGCCTGGCGCCGCTCGCGCACCGCCCGCCCTCGCACGTCGCCATGCTCAGGTGCGCTCCTCGCACACACGCACGCACGCACACACACTTCACCGAGCGCCTGGCGCCGCTCGCGCACCGCCCGCCCTCGCACGTCGCCATGCTCAGGTGCGCTCCTCGCACACACGCACGCACGCACACACACTTCACCGAGCGCCTGGCGCCGCTCGCGCACCGCCCGCCCTCGCACGTCGCCATGCTCAGGTGCGCTCCTCGCACACACGCACGCACGCACACACACTTCACCGAGCGCCTGGCGCCGCTCGCGCACCGCCCGCCCTCGCACGTCGCCATGCTCAGGTGCGCTCCTCGCACACACGCACGCACGCACACACACTTCACCGAGCGCCTGGCGCCGCTCGCGCACCGCCCGCCCTCGCACGTCGCCATGCTCAGGTGCGCTCCTCGCACACACGCACGCACACGCACGCACACACACTTCACCGAGCGCCTGGCGCCGCTCGCGCACCGCCCGCCCTCGCACGTCGCCATGCTCAGGTGCGCTCCTCGCACACACGCACGCACACGCACGCACACACACTTCACCGAGCGCCTGGCGCCGCTCGCGCACCGCCCGCCCTCGCACGTCGCCATGCTCAGGTGCGCTCCTCGCACACACGCACGCACACGCACGCACACACACTTCACCGAGCGCCTGGCGCCGCTCGCGCACCGCCCGCCCTCGCACGTCGCCATGCTCAGGTGCGCTCCTCGCACACACGCACGCACACACACTTCACCGAGCGCCTGGCGCCGCTCGCGCACCGCCCGCCCTCGCACGTCGCCATGCTCAGGTGCGCTCCTCGCACACACGCACGCACACGCACGCACACACACTTCACCGAGCGCCTGGCGCCGCTCGCGCACCGCCCGCCCTCGCACGTCGCCATGCTCAGGTGCGCTCCTCGCACACACGCACGCACACGCACGCACACACACTTCACCGAGCGCCTGGCGCCGCTCGCGCACCGCCCGCCCTCGCACGTCGCCATGCTCAGGTGCGCTCCTCGCACACACGCACGCACACGCACGCACACACACTTCACCGAGCGCCTGGCGCCGCTCGCGCACCGCCCGCCCTCGCACGTCGCCATGCTCAGGTGCGCTCCTCGCACACACGCACGCACGCACACACACTTCACCGAGCGCCTGGCGCCGCTCGCGCACCGCCCGCCCTCGCACGTCGCCATGCTCAGGTGCGCTCCTCGCACACACGCACGCACACGCACGCACACACACTTCACCGAGCGCCTGGCGCCGCTCGCGCACCGCCCGCCCTCGCACGTCGCCATGCTCAGGTGCGCTCCTCGCACACACGCACGCACGCACACACACTTCACCGAGCGCCTGGCGCCGCTCGCGCACCGCCCGCCCTCGCACGTCGCCATGCTCAGGTGCGCTCCTCGCACACACGCACGCACACGCACGCACGCACACACACTTCACCGAGCGCCTGGCGCCGCTCGCGCACCGCCCGCCCTCGCACGTCGCCATGCTCAGGTGCGCTCCTCGCACACACGCACGCACACGCACGCACACACACTTCACCGAGCGCCTGGCGCCGCTCGCGCACCGCCCGCCCTCGCACGTCGCCATGCTCAGGTGCGCTCCTCGCACACACGCACGCACACGCACGCACGCACACACACTTCACCGAGCGCCTGGCGCCGCTCGCGCACCGCCCGCCCTCGCACGTCGCCATGCTCAGGTGCGCTCCTCGCACACACGCACGCACACGCACGCACACACACTTCACCGAGCGCCTGGCGCCGCTCGCGCACCGCCCGCCCTCGCACGTCGCCATGCTCAGGTGCGCTCCTCGCACACACGCACGCACACGCACGCACGCACACACACTTCACCGAGCGCCTGGCGCCGCTCGCGCACCGCCCGCCCTCGCACGTCGCCATGCTCAGGTGCGCTCCTCGCACACACGCACGCACACGCACGCACACACACTTCACCGAGCGCCTGGCGCCGCTCGCGCACCGCCCGCCCTCGCACGTCGCCATGCTCAGGTGCGCTCCTCGCACACACGCACGCACACGCACGCACACACACTTCACCGAGCGCCTGGCGCCGCTCGCGCACCGCCCGCCCTCGCACGTCGCCATGCTCAGGTGCGCTCCTCGCACACACGCACGCACGCACGCACACACACTTCACCGAGCGCCTGGCGCCGCTCGCGCACCGCCCGCCCTCGCACGTCGCCATGCTCAGGTGCGCTCCTCGCACACACGCACGCACACGCACGCACACACACTTCACCGAGCGCCTGGCGCCGCTCGCGCACCGCCCGCCCTCGCACGTCGCCATGCTCAGGTGCGCTCCTCGCACACACGCACGCACACGCACGCACACACACTTCACCGAGCGCCTGGCGCCGCTCGCGCACCGCCCGCCCTCGCACGTCGCCATGCTCAGGTGCGCTCCTCGCACACACGCACGCACACGCACGCACGCACACACACTTCACCGAGCGCCTGGCGCCGCTCGCGCACCGCCCGCCCTCGCACGTCGCCATGCTCAGGTGCGCTCCTCGCACACACGCACGCACACGCACGCACACACACTTCACCGAGCGCCTGGCGCCGCTCGCGCACCGCCCGCCCTCGCACGTCGCCATGCTCAGGTGCGCTCCTCGCACACACGCACGCACACGCACGCACGCACACACACTTCACCGAGCGCCTGGCGCCGCTCGCGCACCGCCCGCCCTCGCACGTCGCCATGCTCAGGTGCGCTCCTCGCACACACGCACGCACACGCACGCACACACACTTCACCGAGCGCCTGGCGCCGCTCGCGCACCGCCCGCCCTCGCACGTCGCCATGCTCAGGTGCGCTCCTCGCACACACGCACGCACGCACACACACTTCACCGAGCGCCTGGCGCCGCTCGCGCACCGCCCGCCCTCGCACGTCGCCATGCTCAGGTGCGCTCCTCGCACACACGCACGCACACGCACGCACACACACTTCACCGAGCGCCTGGCGCCGCTCGCGCACCGCCCGCCCTCGCACGTCGCCATGCTCAGGTGCGCTCCTCGCACACACGCACGCACACGCACGCACGCACACACACTTCACCGAGCGCGCCTGGCGCCGCTCGCGCACCGCCCGCCCTCGCACGTCGCCATGCTCAGGTGCGCTCCTCGCACACACGCACGCACACGCACGCACACACACTTCACCGAGCGCCTGGCGCCGCTCGCGCACCGCCCGCCCTCGCACGTCGCCATGCTCAGGTGCGCTCCTCGCACACACGCACGCACACGCACGCACACACACTTCACCGAGCGCCTGGCGCCGCTCGCGCACCGCCCGCCCTCGCACGTCGCCATGCTCAGGTGCGCTCCTCGCACACACGCACGCACACGCACGCACGCACACACACTTCACCGAGCGCCTGGCGCCGCTCGCGCACCGCCCGCCCTCGCACGTCGCCATGCTCAGGTGCGCTCCTCGCACACACGCACGCACACGCACGCACACACACTTCACCGAGCGCCTGGCGCCGCTCGCGCACCGCCCGCCCTCGCACGTCGCCATGCTCAGGTGCGCTCCTCGCACACACGCACGCACACGCACGCACACACACTTCACCGAGCGCCTGGCGCCGCTCGCGCACCGCCCGCCCTCGCACGTCGCCATGCTCAGGTGCGCTCCTCGCACACACGCACGCACACGCACGCACACACACTTCACCGAGCGCCTGGCGCCGCTCGCGCACCGCCCGCCCTCGCACGTCGCCATGCTCAGGTGCGCTCCTCGCACACACGCACGCACGCACACACACTTCACCGAGCGCCTGGCGCCGCTCGCGCACCGCCCGCCCTCGCACGTCGCCATGCTCAGGTGCGCTCCTCGCACACACGCACGCACGCACACACACTTCACCGAGCGCCTGGCGCCGCTCGCGCACCGCCCGCCCTCGCACGTCGCCATGCTCAGGTGCGCTCCTCGCACACACGCACGCACACGCACGCACACACACTTCACCGAGCGCCTGGCGCCGCTCGCGCACCGCCCGCCCTCGCACGTCGCCATGCTCAGGTGCGCTCCTCGCACACACGCACGCACACGCACGCACACACACTTCACCGAGCGCCTGGCGCCGCTCGCGCACCGCCCGCCCTCGCACGTCGCCATGCTCAGGTGCGCTCCTCGCACACACGCACGCACACGCACGCACACACACTTCACCGAGCGCCTGGCGCCGCTCGCGCACCGCCCGCCCTCGCACGTCGCCATGCTCAGGTGCGCTCCTCGCACACACGCACGCACGCACACACACTTCACCGAGCGCCTGGCGCCGCTCGCGCACCGCCCGCCCTCGCACGTCGCCATGCTCAGGTGCGCTCCTCGCACACACGCACGCACGCACACACACTTCACCGAGCGCCTGGCGCCGCTCGCGCACCGCCCGCCCTCGCACGTCGCCATGCTCAGGTGCGCTCCTCGCACACACGCACGCACACGCACGCACGCACACACACTTCACCGAGCGCCTGGCGCACCCGCCGGCAACAATGAAAATGTTAATTGCAATTTTAAGTGCTGATCTACCTCGTGCTCGGCGATGAAGGAAAACGTCGTTAGGAAACCTGCATGTCTGAGAAATAAGAAAAAAAAATTCGCAGACATGTGAAGTTCGCCAACACGCATGGGCAGCGCGGCGGACATTTCCTTGCCGTAAAATCCCCTCAGAAATGAAAGGAGGCCTGTGCCCAGCTGTGGGACGTATATATGCTGTAACTTTAACACACAAAACAGCTTATAAGTTAAAAAAATGACTGACATTCTGACCTGGTATCTGACTATTTTTCTATTAACTATATTACTATTTTTCGTACCCAAGCAAAAAAACCTTTTACCAAAATTATGGATATAATGAAATATTTTTTTTACAGCAATGGAGTAACCAAGCACGACTACAAATATCAAGCATAATTATTATTTATAAACAATTCAGAAGGTGATTTGAGCACAAATTTGATATTTGGCTACAACATTAAGTTTAAAACTGGCTAGTTTTAAATCTGAAGGTTCAGATTTACTTGTTCAAATCGAAGCGCCCATGACAAAACAGTACAGGTGTAGAAGTAAATAGTAATATGTAAAATATTACTTAATGTTTTTTTTCCACATTCAATGTAACCAATGTTAAGGATTTTATGGCGTATAATTTTAACTTTTTAATTAACTAAAAGTGCTTTAAAGCACTCAAAACGTTGGGGAATAAAAAATCGTGTCGGGTAAAATCCATAAAATTGTATCATTTATAACATTACTTATCGCTCCGGCTTCGCCTGGTTAGAATCTATTAATGTGGCGTATTTAGATAGACGCTAATCAAAACACATTTATTTTATACATTTTTCATTTTAAGTTTTTTTGTTAAACTATTAGCTAGATCTCTCCTGGCATTGTTATCTCCATCTGTTCATAAAGTTTCATTGCAATCGATTCAGCCATTCCGAAAATTAGCCTGTACAGACAGACAAGACATTTAAAAATGTTTGTTTATGTGCTAATAGTGTGCAAACAACCCACTTATTTTAAGCTTAAAAGAAGCCAGTATTTCAAATATTACAGACAGACACCTTAATTTTATTTATACGAATAGATTATAATTTATTTTCTTATATTTTGAACACGTAAGAACTAGGTTTATAAGTCAGTTGTGCATTTATGAATTTGACTTAAAATACAAAAAGCTTTATTTGATAAAATATATATAATATTTAGGACCCTTTGTTATAGCTGTAAGCTATGTTAAGTACTATGTTACCTCCAATAGTGTTTTGATATAAGACTCAAAAAAATGGCTCTCGAAATCCTCACAATGTTTTACTCGTGTAAGATATTCTACTAGCCTATATTATCATTCCGTGGGTGTCGTAAGAGGCGAGCGACAGAGGGAAGCTGAAACATGGAATGTGCAGTTGTATTTTTTAGATAATAACATAAAATAATTAAAAAATGTGGCTGCCAAACCCGCCTGTCAAGCGTGGCAACTATGGCAGAAAACCTACCAAGGAGACAATCTACGGAGGAATCCTATTTTCAGAAGTGGATTTTGATAGGCAGTTATTTTTTTCTTAGAATTGCAGACATACATGGACTGAATAACTGTAATGTAATTATATTTACTGCGAAAGGTAAAACTATATTCTGATGTCCTTGATCAGTTTGAACTATTGTAAACATTTGATTTTCAAATACAAGTATGTAATGGCACGTATTGGCTTGATTTCTTTACATCTGTAATCTTTGTATAATTTAGGCAATCTATGTATATCACGTATATTTTTATAGACAAATATTTATTCTGTGCAATTATATGTAAGTATGAACAGTTTACTTAAGTTCCAAACTATTTATAAGAGCAAACACTACGATTGAAAGAGAACATTATGCAACAAATTCTAATATCGCATCAAATAATACGCACATAATTTAATATGTAAGTCGATGCACTTTTTAATATTAAAATCTTTTCGTCCTATTTGTATAGGGCGTTTATTATTTATCACAGGTATTGGAGGAAAGCAGCCTCTACAGCCTGTTCTTATTACAATTTTCTCGGTGTTTTGAGATAATATAATGTTTTGATTCATGAATATTAGAAATTTTGTCGGTCGGTCGGACTCGGCCACGCTTAACATTATTTTTTAATTATTTTTACTGGAACTGACTGTTAAAGTGTAGATTAAACAATAGATTAGATCTTTCCAAACTTCTATGTATACACATCGACGGGCTCTAGGGCCATACATTGCGCACTAAGTTACGGTCAATTCTCCCAACTCCTTTAGTCGACTGCGAGCGGACGAAGACTTGTTATTAACGTTTGTTAACAACGTTCTTTACGACAATCTAACACTGATTTTGTTCAATGTGACTAAGAAAACCATGTTATTATTTTATGTGCGCACTTTGTCAACATGATTTGAACTTTATTTCACATTATTATGTACGTAAGTAACTTTATTTCGTATTTGCCTAAAATGAAAATACAACAGCGTGGAATATTTGGCGTGCCCGCTACCCGCCCAGCCGGCGCCCGCGCAATTCACAGCTGGGACACAGTTTTTATTCTGAATTACCAGATGAGTAGTATACAGAAGTCTTTGGATTTTTCATGTATATTATAAGTTTCAAGATGTTTTGATGTATTTCACCTTACTCTTCTCATATTGAAATAAAACTATCCCTATTAGAAATGTTTTTTATTTAATATGTATGTCTCTTAACGTTAAAGTTTACTGTGCCACATAGTCATTGTGACTGAAATCATATTTTAATCGAATACAATGTATTCAAACTAGCCCCTGGTTTTACAGGACATAGTCGCAAATCAAAAAAAGTAAACAAGATTCTAGTATAAAATTAAAACAGTATTTAAAATTCTAATGGATAAAACTCCCACATTTACATGTTCATACTTTTAATTAAACTGTTCATTACAAGAATATTATTTGTTTGAGTTTATTAAAATTTTAATACAAATCAAACATTAAAATCTTCCAATGGCCAGCAAGAAATAGTAACGAAATAAAGGACAATAATAACTACTTTCATTTTATGAACTATGTTGTTGTCACGAATGAGTGGCAGACTTCTGCATATAAAGTATATAAACACATGTGGAACATCACAATGCACTTTAAGATTGCACAGTAAAATGCAAAATTGAAAGAGATCCCTCAACCAACACACACTGAATTTATTTCAAGTTGGCCACTTTTTAAAAGTCTTGTATTAATTAATCGAAGATCTGCAGTTGTTGGATCACTCGGATTCTGCGGGCGTGTGCCACGTTAGTCTTTCCTCATAGAATGCAATCACCTGCAAAAGAGTTTATCATGAATTTCAATTTTATAGCATTACAAAAGCTTGTTTATTTCATGAACTTTTTGGGACTTGCGCAAATAAGTAATTTTTTTGTCAATGAAAATAAAACAAGCACTGTAAGACTATATAACACTCTGACGGCTTACAAAAATACAGACAAAAGTAGCAAAGAGTAAGCGGGAGTTTCCAAAATAATTTATATTTTAGACTAATGTTTTTTAGACTAATGTCTAATGTGCTCGTAAAATAATTTTTTTTAATACTATTTAAATAAAAAAAATGTGTATTGCTGCACCTATGGCGACACAAGTAAAAATAATTGAGATTATATATAAAAGTTAGGTTTATTCAATTATAATCCTTATATCAATTTATCTACAATAGTATTAATAAAATAAAATTTACTATTGATGTAGTATAATAATGAGACATATCTAGGCCCACTAGACAATCATTTAAGATTTAAAATTTAGATAGTTAATATTTAACTCATCATCATCATCATCATTACAGACTTCAAGTCCACTGCTGAACATAGGCACCCACCAAGGAATGCCACAAAGCACGGTCCTGAGCCACCTGCATCTATCAACTTCCTGCATGTCTTACCAGGTCGTCACTCCATCTAGTGGGGGGACGCCCTACACTTCGACTGCCGGTACGAGGCTGTCATTCGAGAACCTTTGTTCTCCATCGATTGTCGGTTCTTCGAGCTATATGGCTGCTCATTGCCACTTCAGCATACTAATTCTTTGAGCAATGTCGGTTACTCTGGTTCTACTGCGGTTATCCTCGTTTTTACGTCGTCTATCACGCAGAGAAACGCCGAGCATAGCCCTCTCCAGAGGTCGCTGAGCAACTTTGAGCTTCCTCACATGGCCAGCAGTGAAGGACCACGTCGTCTAATCCCCGCCATAAGGACTATATCGTCGGCAAATCGAAGGTGAGTGATGTACTCGCCATTGACGTTAATACTGTCTGTAGCCCTACTGTACAAACGCTTCAGCACCTCGATATACCGACAGTCCACTTGGCACTGCTGAAGGGACTGCAGCACCGCCCAAATTTCGACGAAACAAAGGCTTTCTCATAGTCCACATATGCAAGACAACACAATATTTAACTCACTAATAATATAATTTCACTCACTTGTTGCGGGCACTTCACATTTGCAACCTTGGCAGGCACCAGCTCAGCTTCATCAGAATCTGCCCATTTTATTAGGAACATGAGTTCGCCCGTAGCATCCGATGCACCTGCGAAATCAATTATTAAATGTTTAAGATTAGGATAAATTTAATTTTATTTATTCAAGTCATGGCAGAGTTGTATGGTCGTAGTTGATCTAATATGCTTTCTGATATTTAAAGTAAGGTCGTATATTTGAAGAAAAACCTTTACTTGTACTCCCAATTTCACTAGGACATAACCGTAGTGTGCCTCAAGGGTCGACACTAGGCCCTGTAATGTACATTAAAAGATGCAAAGCTGATCTTTCCATCGCAATGCACAAACAATACAACACACGAGAAGAGAAGGATGTAATTTGGATTTTGTAGTAAAACTGAAAATAAAACAATCAAATTTACCAATAATTTTCTCAGCTTTCAGCCCTTTATCAAATCCGGACTTGGCTTTGTCTTCCTTTCGCTCGTGTTTGCTTTCCTTAGGCTCTTCCATTGAGGACACGCTGGTGGCGCGGCCTTTGCTGCGTCCTGTCACGCTGGTGTCCACACTGGACTCACGAGCTCGCTTTTTACCACGCTCTTCTGACTTCTTTGACTTCTAAAACCAAATTTTATAAATTATGAATATCCTATTAAAATACAGGAAAACAATTTTTAAATAAATGCAAAATATGTAAACAAACATCAGACCACAAATGCTTTATAATTACTTACAACCTTATTAAAAATGTCAAACTTCAGTAAAGAAGTGGATTAACTGAAGTTTATGTTAAATTTTAAACCAAAATATATATATTTATAAATAGCTTATACCAGCGGTTTTTTCGTTTGTGTAGAAATTAAATAAAAAAAAATTGGAGATCTATAATAGACCACTATTATAGATCTCCAATTTTTTTTTATATG